TTGGACATTTACCCAAATGACCACAAACAAGGCCATACTAAAGCTACTAGCACAACCATGTTTACTGCAGTATTATTTGCCATTGCTAAGATATGGAACCAACCCAGATGCCCCTCAGTAGATGAACAGATTAAGAAAATGTGAAATATATACACAATGGAATTCTGTGCTTCCATCAGAAAGGATGACATCTCCCCATACATAAGGAAATGGAAAGACTTGGAAAAAATCATATAAGTGAAATAAGCCAGACCCAAAGAAACACAGGCTTCATAGTTTCCCTCATTTGTAATAATTAGTATATGTCTAGGATTGTCCTAGCAGAGGAGCACCAAAGCTTAATAGCTATGCACATAAGACCATCTAAGATGATGCTGATTGAAATGAACTCCAAGATGTGGAAATAAGAGGTTTTTCTTTGTGGTTCTTGTTTTTAATGTGCTGTGTGAAGTTATTTCTTTGTTCCTTGGTTTATTTTCATTTGTTTTATCCCCTGTTGTCACTGTTTTTTTTTATTTTGATACCCTGTATCTTGTATATACGTTCATCTTTTTGGGAAAGGGAAGGGGAACAACAAAATGGTAAGGCAATGGACAACAGGTGAACCAATGCAACAGAGATACTCACAAGACGTTATGTTGGACGTGAACTTTACAACTTGCCTGGGGGAGTTGGAGAGCAGGGAAAGTGGGAGAAAAATAAGGGAGATGGTAACAATGTCCCACAAAAAGTGTACTCACTACCTTACATAGGCAACTGTAACTCCTCTGTACATCACCTTAACAATAAAATTAAATTAAAAATAAATTAATTAATTAAAAAAGAGGTCTCATTTCAACAAAAAGCAATTTTAGGGAGATGACAGGCAGATAGTGACATCACTCATTACCCTTCCTCATGGACACAGCTTTAAACGGTGATTCTCACATCTACACCTTTGCATTCAAGTTGCCATGATACTCGTCACAGGTACATCTAGGGGATCACGGTGGTGAGCTCCTTAGCAGTGAGATGAAAACAGTGTATGGCAACATCCAATCCAGGAAAGGATGGTCACTGCTGCAGCTACATCAGACAGTAAGTTCTCAGGGACTTGGCAGAAATAGAAGCTACAACTTTAAGGAGAATTGTGTGGGACCAGACTGTTAAAAATCCAGACATGAGAAACTTTTGCTAGAGATTACAATGAGATCTCTACAGTCCTCCCACAATTCTGGGAAATAAGGACAAAACGGATCCTCAATTCCAGGGTCAAACCTGGTAAGGAGTTTATTGATAGGCTGCTCTCTTTACTTCTTGAACTCCAAATAGCAACATCTGAAACCAAAGGAAGTTATCATTTAATCCCTAAATATTTTTTGTTTATTTTTTCTTATCATCTGAATACTCTTTAAAACAATAAAAAAAAGCTAGGCCTACTCGTTTTTTATTTTTGTCAGTTGTGGGGCTTGAACTCTGGGCCTGGGTGCTGTCCCTCAGCTCTTCAGCTCAAGGCTAGCACTCTGCCACTTGAACCACAGCACCACTTCCGGTCTTTCTGATGGTTTATTAGAGATTAGAGCGGCACAGACTTTCCTGCCTGGGCTGTCTTTGAACTGTATCCTCAGATCTCAGCCTCCTGAGTAGCTGGGATTACAGGTGTGAGCCACCAGTGCCCTACTCAATTTTTTAATTACCCTTTCATTCATCTAATTTAGCTTGGGAGGTCTGTTCATTCAACATTTAGAACTCTCATCAAAGATAGAATTCACACTTTCAGTTTAAAGGTTCCCTTGGAGAATAATTCTTTGTTATATTTTTTTAATTTAATTTTTTGGTTTTTTTTGGGTCTGGTCATGGGGCCTGAACTCTGGGCCTGGGCGCTGTCCCTCAGCTCTTCAGCTCAAGGCTAGCACTCTACCACTTGAGCCACAGCACCACTTCTGGTTTTTTTCTTTTTGCTTATGTGGTGCTGAGGAATCGAACCCAGGGCCTCACGCATGCAAGGCAAGCGCTCTACCACTGAGCCACCTTCCCAGCCCCAATTCTTGGTTATATAAATGGAATTGATAAAAAGCTTTGATAGGCATGTTGCAGTTAAAGTGTAAATAGTGGATGTCTCAGGTAGCTATCCAAATAAACTTCCCCAAATCCAGAGTGCCTTTCAGTTTTTACTCTCTCATATTGGACTATTATTTTGCTAACTGTATACAACCACAACAGTAGAGGTTTACTACATCTTTCTCCTGGATCTGGGATGAACAAATAATTATAGTCTAAACTGCAACTCCAGGGTTGGTTACTGTGTAAAGATATTGCATTCTTTAGGCATCTTTTGCCTCTATCTTCTGCCTTGGTTGTAGTAAGGTAGTTTTATTGTTCAAGGTCATTTGGAAGTTTTGTCATCTTAGTCAGCTGGAGTTGAAATGTAACATTCTGTTGCTAATTTAAGACTTTAAGAGAGAAATGTCTAAAGGCACTCTTAAGAATTGTATCACAGTAAATTTTGCCCAATATTAGCAGCCAAGTGTGGATAAGTGATCTTTATATATGTTGTACCATATATATATATATATATATATATATATATATAGTTTGAATTAAAACAACCTAAAAGTATAAAGAAACCAGGACACAGGAGGTGAGTAGATAAAAAGGAAGTTTATAAAGAAAAAATGGAATGGAGAGAGGAAGAGTGAGCAAATGCAGTCATAATATTCAATGTATAATATAATGTATTAATATTCTTTCTCTATATATCTTACAATGGACTAGATAATTTGAGGGGATGGTGAAGTTGGGAAAGCTAGGGTAAAATCTTGTAACTAAATAAAATGTGCTAAAGAACCTCAGAGTGTCTCAACAACTTGAATAGCATTTAAAATAGATTATGTAGGCCAAACTTCCTGATAAGGCAACCCAAGTTCTCAGATAAAAGACTGACTTATAAAGGCAAGATTTAGAAAAGCAGAAGAATTGATATGCAAACTCTGGGCTCAGACTGGGCCTGGATATTGGAAGAACAGAATAGTTCTCTCTGAGGAGGATTATAAAGAATTGGGTAAGAGACATTAGATTTGCAGGTTGAGAGACAGATCTTCTAAGGTCTTCGGGTTTCTTTATCTCTTCTGTGTTGTTCAGAGTAAGGTGGGGCCTGTTGAAGGTTTTTGAACAGAAGAATGATGTGATCAGAAATAACTTTAAAGGGATCACTCTGGGACTGCCCTGCCCTATTGCTTCTGGAGAGTCTGTCAAAAAGGAAAAGTCCCATAGCTTACTTGTGACCCATGAATTTTCATAGTCATAGAAGTTCAGTACTACATCAACAGTGCTGTACTAAGTTATCTAGTGTACAGTGTCAGCTAAGTCATTTCAGACTTCCAATTTTACAAGCAAAAACAGCATTACAATTTTCTTATACAGACTCTTAGCAAAGAAATGGGCAGATCACACAAATCAATACCTCTATCAACCCGGTTCCTATGGGTGTAACTACTTTAATTGGCATTAACTTACTCATTTCTTTTCTTGGCTTTGCTCAATATATGGTATTAGATATTAGTCATGGAGAGAATATCACAATCCATGAGCAAACATTTGGAGGACAAAAAAACGCTCATTAACTGAGGAAGTAGCACTTGCTTTCATAGGGAGCTTCAGCAACTGGAATAACAAGAATCTATTTTGGCCCTTTAGATAATGATTTTTTTTGAAAGATGTTTTATTTTTTTCATTACCTTAAATTTAAAATTGTTTTTGCCAATCCTAGGGCTGGAACTCAGGGCTTGGACACTGTCCCTGAGCTTCTTTTGCTCAAGGCTAGTGCTCTACCACTTGAGCAGCACCATTTCTGGCTTTTTCAGTTTATGTAGTACTGAGGAATTGAACTCAGGTCTTCATGCATGCTAAGCATGCTACCACTAAGCCACATTCCCAGCCCTTATTTTATTATCTTTAAGTCACTGTACAAAGGAGTTTCAATTCAAGATGTCAATGTTGAATGCCAATGAATCTTGATCAGTGTCAAGATAGGTGGTATTCACAAGCTGACTATAAAAAGTCGGATGGAAGGTTTTGTAATTTTGTCATTGCTGATCTTAAAAGGCGATACAGAAAAAAGTACAAATTTACTTTCAATGTTTTTGTTTTCAATTTTTTAGGGGGGTGCACTGGACTGGGGATTAAACTTAGGGTCTTGGTTTTACTGAGCAGGTGTGTGTGTCACTGTGTCCCAATTTTGTCCTTTCCCCTTAAAACAGGATAACAGGCATGCACCAGTGTCCAGCCATTGGTTGAGATGTAGACTTCAGACATTTTATTATCAGGCTGGCCTTGAAGCATGATTCTCCCATCTCTACTTCCCAAGTAGGTAAAATTACAGGCTTGGGCAACCACGCCCAGCTCTGTCCCTCCCTCCCTCCCTCCCTCTCTCTCTCCCTTCCTCCCTTCCTTCCTTCCTTCCTGCCTGCCTGCCTGCCTTTCCTTCCTTCCTTTCTTCCTTTCTTTTTCTTTCTCTCTTTTTCTGTTCCTGGGGGCTCAAACTTAGGGCCTGAGCACTGTCTCTATATTTGTTGCTCAAGACTAGTTCTCTACTATGAGCCACAGCTCCACTTGCAGCTTTTTGGTGGTTAATTGGAGATACGAGTCTTACAGACTTTTCTGCCCAGGCTGGTTTTGAACCATGTTACTCCTGAGTAGGATCTTAACTTCATTAAAATTCCAAAGATTCCCCTAAAACTATTTAAATCTAAATTTAAATTTGTGCAAATGAAAACACAATCTATAATATAATCTATAATTATAATCTATAATCTACAAATTATAATTGGGGAAAGGAGTCAAGTAAGCATGCTAGAATGATAGGACTTATAAAATATTGTATAGTATAGTCCCTGTACCCTCACAGATGAGCTTCATTTATGTTGCCTTAGTTTCCTATAGGAGACCCACTAGCATCAGATATTTGCTTTGGCAAAGGGGGTTGCAGCCACACAAGCATAAATCACATATCTTGGGCTTACCAACTTAATATGCTCCCGCTTCTGGTATTTTTCACTATAATACTGTTCTTGCCGAAGATTAAGCAGCTGCTGTTGCTGTTTGTCTTTCAAGTCTATTAACTTTTGGGTCATTTCTGCATCCAGAGCAGCTAGGTCTTGTTCTATGGCAGAGGAGCCATGGTCAGGGCTACTGGGCTCAGATCTGAAAACACAAGAAAGAGCTTAAGGGTGAACCAATTCAGTAGAGAAACCCAGTGGACACCATTTTGGAAATGAACTACAGAGTTTCAGGGAGAGGTAAGTCAGGAAGTGAAGACTGGGAGAGAATGAGGGAATGGGTTACATTTCAAAAAGAAATGCACTCGTTACCTGACAGGTAACTGCAACCCCTCTGCACATCACCTTTGAGATAACATTAGAAATAGGGAAAAAATATGCGGTGGTCATGAGTACAAGAAAGGCTCACGCCTGTAATCCTGGTTACTCAGGAGGCTGAGATCTGAGGATTCTAGTTCAAAGCCAGCCCAGTAAGGAAAGTCCCTGAGACTCTTATCTCCAATTCATTATCAAAAGAGCTGGATGTGGAATTGTGGCTCATGTGGTAGAATGTTAGCCTTGAGCAAAAAAAGACAGTTCCCAGGGCCTGAGTTCAAGGCCTAGGACACATGCACAGAGAGAGAGAGAGAGAGAGAGAGAGAAAGAGAGAGAGAGAGACTATGAATCTATTTGCCAGAGCTCTGTCTACAAACTAGACTATGCTTATACATAAATATTTTTCTAAGCTTGTACATAAAATTTTAAGGCAGGAATATTGCTTGATCCTAGGAATTTGAAAGAAGCCTGGGTGACATAGCAAGATCCCATTACTTTAAAAAAAAAAAAAAGGAGGGGCTGGGAAGGTGGCTCAAGTGGTAGAGCGCTAGCCTTGAACTGAAGAGCTGAGGGACAGCGCCCAGGCCCAGCGTTCAGGCCCCACGACTGGACCAAAAAAAAAAAAAAGGAAAAAAATAAAGAAAGAAATTTGGCCTTCAAGCAAAAGGGATATTAAGGTCCCCAAATAGGGAATAACATGGCCCAAACCTTGACAGTCCATGGAAATGACTTTCTTCCTCATGCTATAAAATAAACAACTCACTTTTTCTTGCTGTCCTTTTTAGCAGTCTTTTCCAAAGTTGCTCTTCTTCTCAAGTAGTCATTCTGAATTTCATTGTATTTTGTAGTGTGTTCTTTGATTAGGTCAGTGGTTTTCTTGTGGTGTCTCTTTACTAGGTCTTTCATTTCCTTGTAGTGCTTCTTTTGAAGTTTTACAAATGATTTCTGTTGCTTTAGCTCTTCAATAGTCTGTGCTTCCACTTCTGCAACAGATGAGCATAAGAGCTAAGGGGCAGGAAAGTGTGGGCCGGGAGAGCATTGGGGACCGGCTTGGAGAGCAATACCTGTCTCAGTCTCATCTCCACTAACAAACACCTTAAGAGCAGAGCCTTGATGTCCAGCTTATCTGGGTTCTTGTCTTGCTCTATCCCTTGCCAACTTTAATACTGTGTTACTTCTTGCGTACTCACTTTCTTCCATAGTTTATATATATATTTTTAATCTTAAAGTTTGGGTTCTCTAAACAGAGCCCAAAATATGCATTCAGGTGAATGTGATCTCCTGAGGGTAGGAAAGAGAAGGAGGGAGATGAGACTGGAGCATTTACTAAACCAGAGGCTATGTCAAACAGAGCTTGCCTGCTACCTGACCGCAGGTGAGCCCTGTAGTATGAACTATGAATGGTCAGAAGGATTGATCTCCTCTTAAGGCAAGAATATCAGCTCATTGCATTTTTGCAGTGCAATGTGGGGGTGCTCTAGTCTTCTTGGGAGGATCTTCCTATAGGCTCTGATCAGTTTTGCAGAGAAAGAGAAGCCATGAGCTGTTAGGAGCCAGCCCTCATCACAGCTGGGAGAAAAGGGCACATCAGATGTACAGGGAATTTGGGAAGAGCCCCAACACATCTGCTTTAAGGATTATAACACTTGTACTACTTTACAGGGTTGTTAGGATGGTGCCATAAAAGAATTCATGGAAGCCGGGTGCCGGTGGTTCACACCTGTAATCCTAGCTACTCTGGCTGAGATCTGAGGATCATGGTTCAAAGCCAGCCCAGGCAGAAAAGTCCTTAAGACTCTGATCTCCAATAAACCACTAGAAAACCGGAAGTTGTGCTGTGGCTCAAGAGGTAGAGCGCTCGCCTTGAACTGAAGAGCTGAGGAACAGCACCCAGGCCCAGAGTTCAAGCCCCACGACCAACAAAAAAAAAAAAGAGAATTCATGGAAAGTGCTTAATAGTTTTGGGCTCTGTGCTTGTGGAGGCTTAACAGATAATTATGTAGGTTCTACAATGACCTCTCTTAGGGGTAGCATTCACAATATGGCTTGTGCATTTATCTACACAATATATGGTAGCTAGTATCCAGGGAGAGGAACCTCTAATCTAGATTTCATGAAGACATCAGAAGGGTTATCAACAACTTCTGTGATATTTTATCCAATGTTGAGAGAATGTTGACTATGACAGAGCCTGCACTTAAAACATTCTAAATCTTGCTAACCTCTTGCCTCAGTTCTAGAATGTGCTTTTCAGAAGTCAATATAAATCTGATGATCAGTTGGCTACTCTAAGTTCTCAGTGTCCTGCTTATCACCACATGGATGGTGAGATAGCTTTTAACAGGCAGGGTTTTAACTTCAATGAATTCTCCTTTACTTGTACCCAGATTAAGTCAGGGTTCACGTGTTTTCATTCTTTGGTCTAAACTTTCTGCCTCTGGGAGCAAAAATAAACATTGCCACAAACATTTAGAACTGTCAAGAGATTTAGAAATAATAAATGCTATGAATAATGATGAAGCTGAATACAAAATGAGATGCTTTAGTGGGTAAACATTGAATCAGAAGAATAAAGTAGGTTACTAAATGCTAAGGTCTTTAAGGAATTGCAGTATGCTTTCTTTCTCTGTCTTGTGTTGATTCTCTTGATATTCTTTTTTTTTGGGGTGGGGGAAGTCATGGAGTAAAACTAAGTACATTTATTTCATGGTTTACCCCAGGCATAAACTGACTCATGGTAGTATTGTAAGTTATTATATTAAGAAGTTAGAGTCCTAAGGATTTGGGGTTTCTGATTCACTTTTACTTCTATAAAAATAGCTTGTAGTACATATTTTTTTAAGAAACAGGATTCTATATGTCCCAACCAATGATTAAAAGAAAAAAAACTACCTTTTCTTTTTTAACCTTTTTCTTTCTCATTTCTCTTAGTATTTGGTACCATGTATTTCATATGTAAGATTTCTTGATATGTGGAAGGGAAAGGGAATCACAGAACCAGCAGGACAAAGGATGAACCAATGCAACTATGTGGGATAAGAGCCTTACAACTGGGGGCTGGGAAGGTGGCTCAGTGGTAGAGTGCTTGCCTTGCATGCCTGAGGCCCTGGGTTCAATTCCTCAGTACCACATAAGCAAAAAGAAAAAAAGCCGGAAGTGGTGCTGTGTCTCAAGTGGTAGAGCGCTAGCCTTGAGCTGAAGAGCTGAGAGACAGCGCCCAGGCCCAAAGTTCAGGCCCCATGACCGGACCCCCCCCCCAAAAAAAAGAACCAACCTGGGGGGGAGGGGAATAGGGAGGGGTAAGTGGAAGATAATGAGGGATGGGGTAACAATGATTAAAATCAAATGTATTCACTACCTTACTTATGTAACTGTAACCCTCTGCTCATCATCTTTTCAATAAAATAACTACCTAAAATACTTCTTTCAAACAAAAGTGGGTAGTAAAATTCCATTCCTGAGAATATATTGTAAGTATAAAGGTAATGTGTATTCATATAAAGACACAAACATTACTCATCAATAAATCACCAAAAGATCATTACAGCTGCTCCTATTCCTTTAGTCAGTACGGTCACATTTTTTTTGTGGGTGGTGCCTGGACTTTGATTTCAGGGTCATGTACTCTTTCTTGGATTGCTTGTTCACAGCTGGTTTTCTACTATGACTTGAGCCAGACTTCCATCCTTTCTCTCTGTTGGTTGTTTTGGAGGTGGAGTCTTAGATTTTTCCACCACTGCTGGCTTTGAACAGCAATCCTCCGGGTTGCAGCCATCTGAGTAGCTAGGATTATAGCCAGTGCCTAGCTAAAACTATTATTTTTAACTTGTAGAGTCCTATCTAACACTTTAAGTTACTTCCCTGTGATTTCATCACATAATGGGCCTAAACTAGGGCTAAATATATGTAGACTCTTTCAAAAAAGAGATATTAACAACCTATTTTTCAGAGATAAGGGAGATATCTTTTCTTTTTTTAGTTCTTCATTTGTCAGACTCTGGAGGTGGTGAGGGGGTAAGGAAAAGGGAATATTTACCTGTTAAGACACTCTGAATAAGATCTTCTGTTTTGGCAGGTGCCTTTACAGAACCTGAAACAAAAAGACAAAATAAATATCTTTCTTTAACTTTTAAAATAGTGCTCTTCCTGTAGAAAGAAATGCTTGGGCTTTGGAGATCGGGGGGTAACTCATGCATGAGGCCCTGAGTTACGTCTACCAACCCTTAAGTACACACACACACTTATACACACATGCACACACATATATACACATTCACACCTACACACACAGACTGCCAATGTCACAATGACAGATTGTGAAAGTAGATGTGTAACAAAATGATCCTTAAGAGTCTTCATTTGTAACTTTAAGATAATCCTTCTTAAGTGTGAAATTACATGCCTACATAACCTGGGAGAAAGAGTAGTGTCTACTTGAACCAAAAGTACATTCACTTTAGGAAATGCTGCTGCCACCTTTTGACAACCCTGGGAATGACTAACACAATCTTTTAAAATCAAATGCTGACCACCAGGCAGTAAGAATATTTTTTTTGCAGCAAGACTCACCAGTGGAGTCCAACATCAGTGGGAAAAAAGCATACAGAGATTTGGGAAGATGAAGAGATTGATTCAGTCCCCAAGAATCTCTCCCAAGGTATATAAAATATCATAACTTTTGGTAGAGAAATCATCAAATGATGGGACATCACCAGCCATGGAGGAGGGGGTGCTGACATCACTTGTCTCTGACAGAATGCCTGGAGGGGAGAGGGCATCAGCTTCACACTACCTACAAGGACATGTTGCAGAATACCTGGTCAGAATTCCTGAGAGCATTCAAGCTACAAAACCTAGGAAAATCTGAGGCACTGTCATACATAAAAGGAAACTACCAATCCATGACAAGTGACTTCACTGCGGGGTCTGAGGTGGGGTGTGGAACAATGGAAAGTTCATCAGTAGAAGCAGGTGAGGATCACACAAGCTCGCTCTTCAGCTCAGAGCATCCTGCCAGCGTTGACTTCCTGGTTTGAAGGTGACACCAAGATCTTAGTAGATGTGAACTTTAGGAGAAGCCCAGAGCTTTTGCTTTGTAAGGGAAGAATTTTTGTGGTCTGTGAGGCAAATTATTCTAAGGTTAAAAATCAGCATTAGAATTCCAAATTCTCTTCCACTTCTGGAATCACACAACTATATTTATTTATTAGTGTATTTAAATGACTTTTTTATATCTCAGAAGCACACAAGAAGTTTTCACTTGATGCATAATAGTCCTTTTTTAAAGACTATTATACACCAAGTGAAAACATCTTGTTTGTGGTTAGTCATCTTACAGGAGTTGATTCCAATACTCTTCTAAAAAGTAAAGCATCAATTTGTGCGCATCTGATAAAAATTCAATATGACTTGTTCCTGTTAAAATATCATCTCCACATGAGAAATACCCTCCCATCCTCTATGACAACAAAAAGAAGGGAATCAGGAAGTCACATCTTCTCTGGAAAAAATTCTCTATTCTTGATTAGCCAATTCAACAAGAGTTACCAAGCACATGCCATTTTTCAACTGTGCATGTGATGTACTGAAGCAGCATACACTGAAGCTCATCCAGAAGCCTAGGACACAGACATAAAGAGGCAGGACACACACGGGAGGTAATCACACCCATTAGTACAAGACTATCAAACTGTTCAAAGTGATCAAAGGATTTTTCTGAGAAATGTAGGCCTTAGGTTGGAGTGTCCCAGCTCAAAGCCAGAGTTTTGGTATTTTGAGAAGCTGAGTCTAACCTGAGTTCACTCCCCACTTGCTCTGTGGCCCCTCAGGAAGTAATGATGGAAGATAACAGAATCTTACCTGCAGAGGACTGGAATGAGAGGGAAACAAACTCACCCCTGACAAGAGCCCAACAGAGTGTCCAGGGCACAGAGACACTCAAGGCAACTAAAGAGTATGTTGGAGTAAGAAGGAGAGGAGCTGTTGGCAGACAGAGTGTTGGTGAAGTAGGACTAAGAGCATGGTTCTAAAGTATATTGGTTGATAAATTCCTAGAACTCTCCACAACCCTCACCAGCAGATGAATCATAACTCACTACGAGGTAATAATACAGGAAACCTGAATGGGCTCTAAGTTGTCAACAAAGGGGGATGAGTACTCAGATCTCCACCTTGGCGTTCATTCATCCATCCATCCATTCACTCACCATTAGGCATGTATACACCACTTTCTGCTCTAGGGGCATTAGTTAAAAAAGTCATACTGCCCACCTTCAGAGACAGGTGCACAAGCAGCTGGAGACTCCGGAATCAGGGCCAGTGGTTCTTTCCCCATTGCTTACCTGGAGCTGGTTGGCTGTGTAGTGCCTGGGAGGGTGGCTTGGGTGTCAAGGATGTGGTGTGATTCACGCCATTTTCTGCTGGTGTGGTCCTGGTTTCATTTGGAGCCTCTGATGGCATTTCCCCAGGATCAGCCTACAACGATAAAGACACTATCATTTCTTGCATTTCTTAGTGGTCTTTCATTGGCTTCCTAAAACAGCAAGGCATTGTTACAACTCATTCAAGCTTGAAGCAGCAAAGTTTGAAAAACTCTAGAAAGCGAGATCAATGCATCTTGGTGTTGAGAATCACAAGGATGATAGGTGAATTCTATTGAAGTTCTGATTTTAACTCCAACATGTCGGTAGCCTTCGGAGGTATCCTCGTAGGTGCCTTTGGGACTGATGAGGTGATTTGCTTCAGTGAGAAAGTAGCAAACTCCATGCAATCAATGAGGATGACAGGCTTTGTGGAAGCGACCTGGCCCTCCTGGCCAGGACATCCTAGGCCAGTCATCCCCGGAGGTCCTCTAGATATGGGTGAGCCAGCCAAGATAGGCTGAGCCTGATAGAAATCAGCAAGAACTGCTCAGTTGAACAAAGATCTTGGGGTGGAGAGGTGTTTGTGGGAGGGGGTAAGAATTAGCTCATGTTGCAAGTCTCTAAATTTGGGGACTGTTTGATTTACAACAATAACTAATTGATGTGGTGGGTGAGAATGAAGATTTTGGTACTAGACTTGCCTAGGTTCAAATTCTGCCCCTGACATTCATTATCAGTGGAATGTTGGGCAAATCACTGTGCTCTGCTTCTTCTTTGTAGCTAAGAATATGTATGGACTCACAATCTTGTCAGGCTTCTTAGAGAACTAAATAAGTTAAGTGTTATAAAGATTTATAGATAAATGCAATGCACGAGACATTACCAATGAACAATAATGCATCAACACTTAAGAAATCCACCTACTTCACTCCATATTCTTGGTCCAAGTGAGCATTTAATAAATGCTTGCTGAATAAATGTGGTCCTTATGAAATAATTGCCTCAGTAATTACATATTATTTCAATGATGCTTTTTGATACTCAAATGCTTTGCAGCTCTTTATGAGAATTGCCTTCCAAGACTGTAGCAGGTTTTACTGTCAAGTGTATACCAGCGTTCTGCATTCATGAAAGACACCAGGAGAGAGGTATTTTTCCAGAAACCATTTGGAGTGCAACACTGACATTTTGGTATGTAGTTACTGATAGAAAATTGATAAAAGGGAAGATGAAATAGAAGAAAGTGGCTTTTTACACATTTTTCCTCACTTCCTCCTTCCCTCTCTCTCTCTCGCCTTCCCTTCACTCTTCTCTTCCTCCCTCCTTTTCTCCTGTCTTTCTTCCACCTTTTTGCCAGTCGTGGGTGCTGATCTCTGGGCGTGAGGGCTGTCCCTGCACTCTTCAGCTCAAAGCTAGTGCTCTACCTGCCCGGGCTGGCTTTGAACAGTGATCCTCAGATCTCAGCATCCTGAGTAGCTAGGATTATAGGCGTGAGCCACTGATGCCTTGCTTCTACCTTTTTCCATTCCTGTTCTTCCTTCCTTCTCTTTTCCTCCATCCTTCTTTTCTTCCTTCCATTTACTTTCTTTCACACTTTATTTAAAAAAACTCACAGTTTTCCTATTTCTACTTTTCATATGCTGGGACCACAGATATGCACCACCATGCTTGTCTTCACAAGTGTCTTTTAATCCATGCCCTCAAACATCTTTAACATATGTGCTTCAATCTATCTTGAGCAATAGTATTACCTTCATAGAAGGTAATAATGAATGGGTTCCTTTGAGCATCTAGAAGTAGTGTCTTAGAGAACTCAGGGTTTTTTTGTTGATCCTCTTGGAAGTGGAGGTATGGCTCAAGTGGTATAGCATCAACCTTCAGCAAAAAAAAAAAGCCATTCTAAACTCAGGCTAAGGGGAAAAGAAATCTCTGCTAATGGAGTACAAGTGAGACAAAGCCCCACCACTCTTCCAAATGTGTGTGTGTGTGTGTGTGTGTGTGTGTCTGTGTCTGTGTGTTTGTGTGTGTGGTGTGTGTGCTGGTCCACAGGACTGAACTCAGTACCTGGGTGCTGTCCCTGAGTGCTTCTGCTCAAGGCTAGTGCTCTACAACTTGAGCCACAGCTCCACTTCCTGCATCCACCACAACCCTGTCCCCTCCCCTGCCCTGCTTTGGTAGTTTATTGGTGATAACAGAATCTTAAGGTCTTTCTTGCCACCAGCACCAAGCTTCAAAGATTTATTTTGTTTTTTTTTTAAGGAGATATATTTTGTGTAAACATGGGTGTTGGTTTTGTGGTTACAGTGGAGGATGATCAGCAAGGATTGGCGATGGATTTTCAGGGACCTTTTGGAGAAGTTCAGAACTCTGAGGTCCTACGTGGAGAAGCTTAAGGCAGCATGGGCCGCAGGCAGGGCAAGCAGGTCTACTAGCCAACTATCCATTAACAGGCAGTTAATGGGAACTATGGAGGCAAGCGAATGGGGCAGGATTTAGTGCAACAGGGTAACTGGAGCCACAGACAGAGTGGGAGAGAGCTCCGTTAATTGAGTGGATGCTTAGCTTCGGACTATTTCTGCTCAAATTTGGAAAATAGCCAGAAAATTACATTTTTCCCCCTTCTGAACTCTCCCAATCTCATATCCCTAAAAGACCGGATAAAGCACATCTTGAGACACTAGGGCCAGACACTGCCTGTCTGTTCCCTTGGCTTACAGGAGGAGCCGTTTGCCTGGAATCTTGAGACTGTGCTCAGGTGAGAAATGAATCCTCAGAAATGCTGAGGTCTGGCGAGGCTGCCAGTGTTGTGGGCTGAGGGCCAGCTAGCTCACAGTTCTCCATTCTTTACCTGCCCTTCTGGCTGTACACACATTGAAAAGAAGGTGGGTGAGGCATTTAGGGTTGGTTGTAACTCTTGTCAAAGCCTCTTGCCATTTTTCAGGAGACCAATGTTCCATGTGAGTGTAGTGAGAATCTATGATGACAAACTACCAGGCATTTCTGCTCAAGGCACCACTTGCAAACTTGAACTGACTAGGCTTATCTAATGGAAATAGATGAGAATAGTAGCAGTGGATCACTGCAGGCTGCGGGACAGGTGTTTCTTTTCTTCTTTTCTTTTCTTTATTTTATTTTATTCAGTCCTGGGGCTTGAACTCTGGTCCTAGGCACTGTCTTTGAAGTTCTTTTGCTCAAGCCTAGCACACTACCATTTGAGCCACAGCGCCACTTCTGGCTTTTTTTTTTTAAATAGTTCATTGGAGATAAGAGGATAAGAGTCGCAAGGACTTTTTCGCCCAGGGTGGCTTTGAACCACAATCCTCAGATCTGAGCCTCCTGAGTAGCTAGGATTATAGGCATGTGTCAGTGCCCAGCTCAGGTGGTTTTTATTCTCACACCCTTACAAAGCAAAGCAACTGGGCGTGTTACTGAACATCTTTTCTAAAGACTTCATTGGAAAGTGAAGTAGTATTTATCCAAAAGAATCAAGTCAGGACATAGTAAAGACATTGGCACATCCATGTTCATTGCTGTACTAGTCACCATAGCCAAGTTGTGGTAACAGCCCAAATACTCTTCAATGGACAAATGATATGAACATATATATATATATATATATATATATCACAGTGGAATTTTACTCATACATCAGGAAGAAGGCTATGATGTCATTTTCAGGGAAATAGATGGACCTGGAAAAAATTATTAAGTGAAGTTAGAGAGTCAAAGAACACCTGTTTTCTCTTGTAGGTGGAAATGAGACCTAAATTAGAAAAATATATGCAAATGTATACATATTCATATGTATATATGGTATATGCAGGGGAGAATTCCAGTAGTGTAACTTCTTTGAACAACTCACTATGGTTAGTGCCAGGAAGCTGGAACACGTGTTGTTGGGAGGGGAGTGTGACTATATAGTCTATATAGTCATGATATTTAATGCACCTATGTGGAAGCAGAAGCAAGTAAGCTGAGGGGATAGGTGGGTTGGGAGAGATGGGGGAGGGCGATGAAAGGAGTGATGCTGATCAAGATGTATTATACTGATAACTGATATGTTAAATGGATCAAGATGTATTATACTGATAACTGATATGTTAAATGGATCAAGATGTATTATACTGATAACTGATATGTTAAATGGATCAAGAAAATGTGGTATATATACACAATGGAATTCTATGCCTCCATCAGAAAGAATGACCTTGCCCCATTTGTTAGGAAATGGAAAGACTTGGAAAAAAATTATATGAAGTGAAGTAAGCCAAGCCCAAAGAAACATAGGTCCCATGGTTTCCCTTATTTGCAATAACTAGTATATGTCTGAGACAAGCAGAAAAGGTCAGATAAGTTGATGATAGGTGAAATGAACCCAAAGATAAGGACTCACATGTTTTTTTTCTTTCTTGCTATTGTTTCTAACATATTTATAAGATGATTTCTTTGTTGCTTTGCATGTCCCTCCACCACGGTATAACCCTTGTTTTCACTGTATTTGATGTTGGTATAATTTGTGGAGGGGAAGGGAAAAAACAAATTGTTTAAATAGGGATACAGGTGGACCCATTGCAACAATGAGGTGTACAAGACATTATGTTGAAAAATGAACTTTACAACTTTGGCACGGGGGTTGGAGCCTGGGGGGTAGATGGGAAGGCAGGGATGGGAAGGGGAAAAAAAGGAGGAGGCAACAATGCTTGATAAGAAATGTACTCACTATCTTGCCCATGTAATTGTAACCTCTCTGTACAGTATTTTCACAATAAAAAAAGAAAATGCCAAAAATTGAAATACCTTTGTACAACCTCATAAGACTAATAAGAAATCAACATCTACAGAAAATTTTTGAAAAAACTGTGATGTGGGGCAGAGTTCACTCAGGGGACAGCAGAACTTGTATTAGGCCATGTGTTATGGTCTTAAGTCTAAATGTCAAGAGCAGCTTTTACTCTGTATGTGGAAAATGGCAGCTTCAAGAGCCATAAGAGTAACGTAGCTGAGACACAAAGACAAACAAATGTGATAATAATTGTTAAGGCCGGAAAAGGCACTCATCTAGGACAAGTTAAAAAAAAAATTCAATACAAGGGTTGAAAACTGAAGTTTTTTTTAAATAGGACTTTAGCCTTTGACATGATTGCAAAATTAAGCATTTTCCATCAGATAGATACGTGATCCAAAAACAAATACCTTGTCCCACTCAAAAGAATCATCAAAAGCAATCCTTATGACTCTTTCTTCCCAGGTTTTCCTCAAGTACCTGCTTTGATGAATTTCAATAAAAAGTACAGCCTTTCCGAAGTTTCTATAAATTATGATCAAAACAAAAGAACTGTAAATTTGTCTTATAGAAGGAACCTAAAAGTCTTAGAATCCAGTTAAATAAATATCAAGGGAAGAAGGTTGAGAAGAGAGGAAGTCTTTCGCTGCCCTTACTTGATTTTGCTTTCCCAGTATGGAAGAATATCAGCAGAAGTAAGGCCCTGCCCTCTGGTGGCCGAATGGAATGATTGCAAGTTTTTTGGCTTAATTGTTTTATGATAAGAAAAATATTACGTTTAAGTTGTTGTACAAAGAGGTTTCATTCCAACATGCCAATTTTTGAGTCAAAGGCATTTTTTAACCATCCCAGTGAAATCAGCTTTGAAAAATTAATTTTTCAAGTCAGTTGCAGAGACGTATACTTGTAATCCTAGCTACCTGGGAAGCTGAGATTGGGCTGATCATAGTTCTAGACGAACATGTACAAAGAATGCACAAAATCACATCTCAACCAAAAACAACCTGGGTGCAATGGCACACCCTTCACATTCTAACTCACGTGAAATAAAACGATAATGGTACAGACCCACCTGGGGAAAAATGCAAACATTCATGTTAAAATAACCACTGCAGAAAGGGCTGGAGGCGTGACGCAAGGTGTACTGTGTCTACCTAGCACATGGAAAGGCCTAAGTTCAAACTCTAGTACTGAAAACCAGACAACAAACAAAGATAGAAAAAGACCTCTTAGAAAGAACCCCCACATTCCTAGTCTGAAACAGATGGCCCTTGAACATATTTGTATATGATTCAGTAAAGTGATAACTGAATGTTCATCTGCCACAGGATACACAGATTAAAAATCCCATGTGAGGGGAAGAAAGAATGATGGAAGGGCTGACTGTAATCCAGATGTACACAGAAACAGACATGTTAAATTGAAGTCCCTTTGCCTGACTGCTTGAAGATAATAATTAAAAGGAAGGGGGAAAGATTGCCTTATGATCACTGGAAATGTGGCTCTTATGATTAATAACTAGAGTTGAATGCTTTATATAGTGAGTGACATAGTAAGTAAAGTCTCTTTCAAACACCTTATATGTGATGAGCTATTAGAGGTAGAGGATCATAACTTAAATCAGACAGCCCCATGCATGGAGCTGGTTAGGAGGGCCATATCTTCATTTGCATAACAGGAAAATAAGCTTACCAGTTTAGCTAGACAATTGTAGGGGAGACTGATAATTTCACAATTCCAAGATCTAGCCCACTCAGGACCAATGTGATTGGTGGCTGAGGCTTTGTTAGATCCAGCCCTACAGGCTTCAAGAAAAGAGTGTCCCAAACAAGATCCCCATTTGTATATGAAATTTCTACTCCAGAGTGACAGCAGATAATGTATATCCTTCTAATTTTTGAGAAATTAAGAATCACTCCTGGAAGTCAGGTCCGATGCATGCATTAAGTGTGAGTAAAATATATTGATGCATGTCAGTGCTTTGAAGTGCATAATAAATATGATGCATTTATAAATGAGACCCTCTGGCTTTTTTCATCATTATATATCTATAATTCTCAATATAATGAAGTGAATATTTACACTTTAATTCTCCAGTTTTTCTTTTCTCCTGAAATAGTCTTCTGATTATTTGAATGAAAATATCCCACTTCTATCATATATACTATGTTTAGACTTTAAGTATTTCTTTTTTTATTGTGAGAATACTGTACAGAGGAGTTACAATTACATGGGCAAGATAACGAGTACATTTCTTATCAAGCATTGTTGCCTCCTCTTTGTTTCCCCTTCCCATCCCTTCCCATATTTCTTTACCATACATTGATTATTCTTTACATTGTATGGCACCTAATTTGAAAGTATGTTCAAATGATTTTGGGAACCATTAATATATAATATCAGTAAATATTTTATGGCCCATGCTATATTCAGGCATCATGTTAGATGTTTTTGAAAATCTCCAAATCATTTTGATAATCTTGTACTTCAAATTCAAAATAAAGGAAAATACTAAATGATTCTGGCGTGTGCATGCGTGTGTGCGTGCGTGCGTGCATGCGTGCGTGCGTGTGTGTGTGTGTGTGTAGAGCCTGTGTGCTGTCCCTGAGCTTCTTGGTTTGTTTTGTTTTTGCTCAAAGCTTGCACTCTACTACCACAATTCCACTTCCAGCTCATTAGTGATTAATTGGAGATAAGAGTCTCACAGACTTTTCTGCCCAGGCTGGCCTCCAATTTTGATCCTCATGACTCAGCCTTCTGAGAAGCTAGGAGCCCATGACCATCTCTTAAAAATGCTTTAATTTATTCACAGGCATTGAGACCGAATGAGGAAATCCTCAGGAGAGGACACACAGGTGCAATAGCTATGCCCATCTGATCATATAACATAATATTTATCAACATGAACTTCAGGAAATGGAAATAGGAGGTGTTTTTTTTCTTTTTTTTTGCTGTTTTTGTTTACTTTTCATTTGGTCTTGCTTGTTCATTTATCTGTTTTGGGGAGGTTAAAGGCAGGGGAACAGAAATGGAAGGGCAAAGGGTGAACAAATAGAGCTATGTTGAAAATGAACTATAAAACTTGTGATTGGGGATAGGAAGGACAGAGTGAGGGAGGGGGTTACATTATTTAAAAAGAAATGTACTCTTTATCTGACTTATATAACTGACATCCTTCTCTATGTTGGTTTTATAATAACAGTAAAATTGCATGAGTTTAAAAAACTGCCTTCATTACTTCTGGTCAGTATGAAATCACTGATTCATGTGATCACAAGATAAAACGCTGCTGTTGGAGGAACCATGAAGGACACGGTCAATGATCGGGCTGTTTTGTGACTCCATGGGAGTATTTATCTGGTGCATATCTTGTTCTCCTGGGAAGTGGAGTTACTGTGGCAAAACCAGCAAGCAGGTTCAGAATTCGCATTGATGCCAGGCACCACCCCAGCAGACAGACCCTCACCTCCTTCTTCACTTCTTCCTCATCTTCCAGAGTCAAGGCTGCCAGTTGCTTAGCTCTCTGCTCCATAAGGTTCACATATCGGATTGGGTTTGACAAGGCTTCAATCACGTCTAAGGAAGAGACATGTTAGGTCTAAGATTCTGGAACTCTTGATCATCCATCACCCATCTAACCAACAAGCCATGCATTTATCCATCTAATCATCGATTCCTTTACCATCCATCCATCTATCCATCTATCCATCCATCCATCCATCCATCCATCCATCCATCCATCCATCCAATAACATTGGCTAATCTAAAATAACATTTTGGAAATAGACAAGAAGCAAACTTTGCTGAAATCTCAGGAAGAGAAAATAAAAGGTGCTCAACTCCTTGGGCCAAACTGGAAAAGTCAAAATGCCTCACAACTCCAGATTCAAAAGAACTCCAGTTTTGTTTTTGTTTTTTGAAGATACCATCCATTTTAGCAATGGCCTACACCCTGATTTGTCCTGTATATGGTTTCATGATTAGAGACACTGTACATAAACATCCTGTCTTCCAGACTGTTAGAACAGTGAAAAGACTTTGTAATCTGGATCTCATTTGCATGACCACAGGTAGGTGGAGAGAGTCAGGCTGGCCATCTTTGGATAAGCCAAGTGTTCTAATTTGCAATAACCTCCATCATTTCTCCATGTTTATACCTAAGATGGTTGGAACTATAAGTGTTTGAATTTGTGATTCCCAGTTGAGATCATCATAAATTAATTTCTTGAAATATAGCAATTTGTCTATGAAAAAGATCAGGGTTCTAAAACTAGCTCTCTCTCTCTCTATAAATGTATATATATATTATAAATGTATATATAATAAATGTATATATATATAATAAATGTATATATATATATATGGTAAGTGTGTGCTTCTGAGCTTTTGATTTAATCCAATTGTCCTTCCATTCAGCCACAATAGATGAGCACAGATGGCAATGCCCCTCAGAGCTGGATTGCTTACCTGCATACGTATCTGGCACATAGTCCTTCACTTCTATGTAGACAAAGACAGCGGGCAGCATCAGAGGCTGGTTCCTCTCGTTCCTCAGGCAGATGTAGTGATAGCCTGGAGGGACACAGTCATACTATGTGTCATGGATTTTCTTTAAGTTACTCACACCCCTGAGCATCTGTGTAATGGAAATGCACATGCACAGGCCACTTGTTGCTCATTGAGCTACTTGATAATTGAGTGATAAAGTCTTATTTCCTCAGTTGTCAGGGCACCGTTATTGCCTCTAATTTGTTCTCCCTTCCAACCCTGCCCACTCTGAAGAGAATTCAGAACTGTATGCCACAGTTTGAATTATTCACCCAAGTTTGACCCCTTATAAGAGAGCTCTATGTGATGTGGTTTCTTGAGGCTTAGTTCTGCTTTGGCTGATGAAATGGAATGAAAGAGAAATGACACAAACAGACATTTAAATTGCACGTGTAGAACTGGCCCTTATTGCATTCCGTGTGATCTTGTAAGAGACGTCCAGAGCGTGGGTACCCCTGTCCTTTCAGCTTGCACTCTACAACGAGTGTGCCCGGAGCAGATCCAAGTCAAATGGGCATCCTGAAGCACTGCTGTGTTGCTGAGCCCAAGTTGGATCAGTGGCCCGCGGTGCTCTGTGGCCCTTGTTACCTCCCTTCCCCCTCCTCTCCCCCCCCCACACCAGGTTTCCTGTGTTGGAAACTTTACTTATACCATGGGGATAGGAAAGACAATGGGCCTTCTAGGTGTGGCCAAGTGGGAAGAGCTGGAGTCATTGGGAAATATGCTTTCTGAAGGGAATAAGGTCATTCAAGGTACTTCTCCTGTGACCCACCGTTAGTTCTTGAGAAAGCTCTGCTGTTTGTTTTTCTTTATGCAAAGAGCTGGGCCTGCCCCCATCCAGCTCAGTGGCTTCATGTCTGGTGAGATGATTGCTCCCTCCCACCTGCCCCCCCACACTCCTGTGAGATGCACTCAATATCGGGACCTCGTCTGAAGCAGAACAGAGGAGCTTTTCTGATCCTGTGCTTTCTGTCTCCAAAACCCACGAGCCAAATAAAAGTAATCTACCAAAAATATTCTCATGATAGTTGTGAAAAACAGATTAGTACACACTAGTAATCTCCAGACCCTCAAGCCATGGACATAAACCCTTATCTGAGAGTTTTCAGGTGTTCTGTTCTGTGTAGGTACTGGGGACACAAGTGAACTTGTACGCTGCAAAACCAAAAAAGGACTAGATTTAAATCCAGAAACTTATATAGCCCTGGTTACCTGGAAAAGTCACCAAGCAGCAAATAATTGCTTGAATCCTAACCAGGTAAAAGTCCATGATTATTTTCATTACAACTTTAAGAATTTGCCACCACACCACCATCCATACCTGGCCTAATGGCTTGCACTGGCAAGATCCGGTGACCAATGAATTTTCCTCCTTCTTCATAAGCCGCTATCCTCAAACAGGCCAGGGAAGGGAGAACTACCTGTGAGAAACATCTCTGGTTACAAGAGTGAGGACCACACAGAAAACATCACATAGAACCAGGCTTCGATTTTCCATAACAAGTAGAGGCTTCTATTGCAGTAATTTAGGTTAAAAGCTGTTGCTCTGCAAAGTAAATGTTTAGAAGGAAAAGACGTGGTTCTCAGAAAAAGAGCTTTCTCTGTGTTTTTGATCACAGCACTCTGGTCTGTAAGGCATTTGTATAAAGTACAGGCCATTTTCTTCTTATGTGAACATTCTCAACAGGAAAATAAAGAAAGTTTTGTGTTTGCACACCAAGTATTAGAGGCCTTATCACTGTGTATTTGGTTATTTTTTTTTGGAGATAGGAAAAAGACTTTATTAATATTATTGTTTACTATACAACAAGCATAGTAATAAAAACTTTAAAAATAAAATGAAGTAAGAAAAAGTGATTAAGCTCATTCTGAGGTTATTTTAAACATGAACTTGGATAAACACTAGAAGAATAAAAGAAGAATAAAAATTAGCATTAGTTTTCAAGTTTTCATCGAAGTAACTATTACAGAACACAGATATTAAACAAAGGTCCATCCTCATCCCAAAGTACATGAGTCACACATACAATACCTATATCAGAATGTTTAATAAACAGACATATATGCTATATTCTTCTTATTATTTAAGTTGCAATAAAAAGCTTTTTTTTGGGGGGGTCAGTTTTGGGGCTTGAACTCTGGGCCTGAGTGCTGTTCCTCAGCTTTTCAGCTCAAAGCTAGAGCTCTACCACACTATTTCCGGTTTTCTGGTGGTTTATTGGAGATAAGAGTTTCTCGGCTTTCCTGCCCAGGCTGACTTTGAACTGAGATCCTCAGAAGAGTAATACAGGAATTTTTAAATTTTATTTATTTGTTTTTATTTTTGGGGGTGGTGGTCCTAGGGCTTGAAATAAGGGCCTGGGGTCTGTCCCTAAGCTTTTGTGCTCAAAGTTAGGACTCTACCACCTGAGCCACAGTGTCTTTTTCAGCTTTTTCTGAGTAGTTTATTGCAGATAAACCACTGCCTGGACTGGCTTCCCATCATGATCCTCAGATCTCAGCTTCCTGTGCAGCTAGGATTATAGCTTTGAGCCACCTGTACCTGGCTTGTTTTTGTTTTTGGTACCAGTATTGGAGTTGAACTCTTGGTCTGGGCACTATCCTTTAGCTTTTTTGCTGATGTTCTACCACTTGAGCCACAGCTCGACTTCTGGCTGTTTGGTGGTTAACTGAAAATAAGAATCTTATAGATTCTTCTGCCCAGGCTGTATTTGGGCTATTATCTGTAGCTTTTATCCTCTTGATTAGCTAGGATTACAGGGTTGAAGCACCAGTGCCTGGCTGCGTTTGCTTTTATATCTTCATTGCAAATGACTTTTATGTCTTCAAGTAAGGCTTCAAACCCAGCCGCTTTAATGACAGAGTTCATGTACAACTGCTACACAAATTTGTGAGTTCTCTTTAAATGAAGCAAGTAACTAAGCTTTTCCCCATGCAAGACATCTGAGAAGAGATAGCTCCTGTCAAGCACATGGGACTCACTTTTTTGAACACAATTGGTTCTTCTTCCCAGACAGGATTGACAGCATTTCCTTGGGATGTCTTGGTCTTAAATGCCTTTCTCCTTGTGTCCACCGGCAAACCAAACATATCCACTTCCACGTACGTCCCAACTTTCTTGTCGGAAAGAAACTGACCCGAAATAATCTGGAATAAAAGTTTAAAAAGCAAGTGTTAATAAATGGGTAACAAAGACACAGGAGATCACGCTGAACAAGTACAAATGCTGCTGTTCCAAGATGAAATAGAAGCAACAAGAGAAGTGTGAGTTCTTGGATCAGTTGGCAAATGCCTATAATCCCTGAAGAGGCAGAGGTGACAAGAAATGATCACCTCTGTGAAACATGAAGATCTAGCTCTTAGCAGTTATTTCTCAACAAGTGTGAAATTTTCCCAGGATATAAGCCCAACTGGGGACACTCCTATGTACTCAGGTCATATCTGATCAAATGAGGATCCCCTAAACTAAATGGTTGACAGTGAGCCACAATGTTTTTTGTCAGTGGGACAGGACAGTGGGCATCCTGTCAGTTCACCAATCCTCTCTAGAACTCTGAGGTTGCTACAGATGATCCATCAGAGGCCTGCATGTACAGATGGCGAGCTGCACATTGATCTGGCAGTAATGATGAAGGCAGAGAGGATGCTTCTACAGCCTGGTCTGTTTCACTCAGGAGCTGTTCCAGAATGATGTCTCCACTCTGGACAGAAATGGCTTCTGAGTCTCCTGATTCAGCAGAGTTTCCTGCCTTTATGACATGGTATTATATTCACTTACATGGTCACATGGAATTTTCAAGACAAAATGAATATACCTATTTAAAAACATCTATGAAACAAGATGAAGTTATTAAAGAAGAGCAAACATATCATTAATATGACCCACCTATAACAATTGCTCTTTAAATAGCATTCTACCAATCATAGGATGGGTAGGAGTGTTTGTTGAATCACAGTTGACAAGAATTAACCATCCTTGGCTGGAAAAATACTTCCTAAAATAAATATAATTATTGAAGCTACAAGCCTGCCAACTTCACTCTACATATGAAGTCTGAAATAACTTTGCAAGATGAAATTGTAGGATGCTTTATTAAATTTTTATTTTTAAATCTTTGATATAAAATGATGCAAGTTTTGGGACAGAAGGAACTCAACTGCTAAGGCCAGATAGAAATTAATGATGTTGGCACACAGACTTTTTTTTTTTTACATAGTTCATTTCTTTCCAAAAGCTTTGCTTAAAGCAGTTGTTAATTTGTTAAATTCTTTGTTGAAACTTGTGCCTCATGTTCCAATAAAGGGCTTTCTCAGTTGCATAGTTAAACATAGAACAAATGAGTCTTTAAAGCACTAAATGAATAATAGCTTCAATCACCAAGTGCTTATAGAATCCATGTGCAAGTTCTTTCATTTCTTTCCTTTTTTTTTCTGTTGGTTGTGGGACTTGAACTCTGGGGCCAGGCACTGTCCCTGAGCTCTTCAGCTCAAGACAAGCACTCTACACATGAGCCACAGTACCACTTCCAGTTTTCTGGTGGTTAATTGGAGATAAAAGTCTCACAGACTTTCCTGCCTGGGCTGGTTTTGAACCGTCATCCTCAGATCGCAGCCTCCTGTGTAACTAGGATTACAGGTGTGAGCACAACATTGATCAAGATGCATTATCTCCATAAACTGAAAGGCTGAATGGAAACCTCTTTCTACAACTATTTAAAGATAATGATTTTTTAAAAAGCTTTCCTGACAGGTAAAGAAATGTATGTGCTATAATATCTATTTCAAGGACTGAAGAAAATCTTTGGGAATGAAAGTTTAGGTTCAGATATATATTTAATAAAGCAACGCTTGAAGATTATTGATAATGAAAATTTAAATCCCTGAAAACTTGGGTGACTATTCATAATAGTCTGTGACTATTCATGGTATTACTTGAAAGCTTTTGTTTCATATTTAATAAAGATGTTCTTTTCTATAATTTTGCTTAGAACTAAAAGCAACTGGTGGGGGAAAGAGACCAGACGAACTTTATTACGGGCAGCCAGCTGTCACGTGTGTTTCATTAAGAGAAAAGACTGGGCTTGGTGGGTCTCACGGAATTTATTTAATTTATTTACAATCCATTTTTAAACATTATATTAAGAATGAGGCTTAGTCTCTTTATGTCGTGAATGTGGCTTATGAACAATCTTCCTTCCTTCCTTCCTTCTTGTTTTTTTTCTTTGTCTCTCTTTTTCTCTTTCTCTTTCTCCCTCCCTCCCACTTTCTTTCTTTCCTCTTTTTCTCTCCCTTCCTTCCTTCCTTCCTTCCTCTTTTTTTGTTGGTACTAGAATTTGAACTCAAATACTTGCTTGACATTTTGCTAGCAGCTGATGTTCTACCACTTGGATCACACCTCCAGCCTGCCCTTTAGCCAGCTTTTTTGGTAAAAGCAGTCTTGTGGACTGCTCTACCTGGTTTGTCTTTGAACCTTGATCTTCTGGATATCAACCTTCTGAGTAGCTAGAATTACAAACATGAGATACTAATGCTTAATTCATGACCTGTGAACATTTTTGGTGTGAATTTGATTCTTTAAAGGAAAAACCATCCTGGGTTTGATCCCCAGTACCAAAAAAAGGACAAAAAATACAGTTAAAGGAAAAACCGTAAGAGAGAAGTAGCACCTTCATCAGCTACCAAGATATTTTAATGCCTAAGCTATTTCTTTGCATAAAAATAAATTAGTAGTAAAGATTTCTGTTCTGGACCAGTGTGTGACAGGTACGTACTTTGACTGACAACGTGTTGGCCACTATCCCATCTACGATGCCTTCTGTGAATGGGTCAAAGTGCTTGTCTGGTCTCCTCATGAATTCCGGCTTCAGTCTGTAGCCACTCTTCCCATTGTACTCATACATGCCCATGTTTATCTGCATAGCCAGGTCTAGATGTCAAAAGCACAGACAACACTGTGAGTTCAGTCATAATTGGGGCAAAACTAAGGCTGCGAATTGAGATTGGCTTATACATCATTTTTGTGAATATACCTCTACACAAAGGAAATCGTTATTTGTTGTAAGAATGTACAAAACATAAAATTAAACAGAAAAAGTTATCTGTAATCCCCAAATCCAGAGAAACACTTCAAACAGACCACACTTTGTAATTGTTTTTTCCACTTCAAGTGCATGGTTGCATGCCACTTAGAGTGATGTATTTCTCCTTTAATGTTAACAGCTATTTAAAATTCCTTTGAATAAAATATTTGATTCAATGTGTTTAGCCAGCTCTATCATTGTGCACATTGATGCTTCCAATTCTTCACCATTACAGACTTGCCATTGTAGTGAATGCTTTGAGGACACATCAATGAGATTTCTGGTTCAAAAACATGTGCACATTGCACAAGCTTAATTTTATTTTGGACAAATCTTGCTATAATGCCCTCCAAAAACTTTAATTTATACTCCTCTCAGCCATATTTTATGTATGTATGTATGTTGGTAGGGGGGCCTGAACTCTGGGCCTGAGTGCTGTCCCTGAGCTCCTCAGCTCAAGGCTAATGCTCTACCACTCGAGCCACAGCACCACTTCTGGCTTTTTCTGCTTATATGCTGCTGAGGAATTGAACCCAGGGCCTCGTGCATGCAAGGCAAGCACTCTACCACTGAGCCACCTCCCCAGCCCATCAGCCATATTTTTAAGGGTTGATTCCTATATACCTTTCTCACAGAAGATACTACAATTATTTGCATATTTGTATTATAGGGAAATATTTGCTTCTTGGAATTTTCACTTCTATGGTCACTTGTAACTAATATCTAATTATACAGAGGGAAGTGGCACTGTGACTCAAGTGGTAGAGCTCTCGCCTTGAGCTGAAAAGCTGAGGGACAGCGCACAGGCCCAGAGTTCAAGCCCCATGACAAAAAAAAAGAACACCTCTACTTATACAGAGTTTTCCAGCTTGTTGGCATAACGATTTGCCAAGTATTCCCTTATAATATTCTGAATTTTACTCTTGTTTATTGTGATTTGATCACTGTTTTATTTATTTTGGTGGTTTCTTCTTTTGGTCAGATTTGCTAAGAGATTATAAATTGGTTTATTTTTATTTATTTCAAAGAGCCAATTTTAATTTAGTTGATTCTCAATATAGTTCTTTCAGTTTCTCGTTTATTTCTGATCTAATCTTTATGACTTTTTTTATCTGCTGGTTTGGGGCTTGGCTTATTTTTGTTTCTCTAGGACCCTGAGGTGTGCAACCAGTTGTGGAGGGTGCGTGCCTTATTCCCAAACTCTGCAGGATCAGGGAGAAGGAAGCAGGGGAAAGAGCCACAGGAGTGTCATGGCAGTCCAAAGCCATCTATGTTGGGTGAGTGACTTCCTCTCAGGCTCCATTTGGCAGGGAGAAGGGCTATGAGGCATTTCTAATATCTCACCCCAGCTCTAGAATGCTAACCTATGGCCTAAGATGATTACAAGCATTTAAGGCAGGTAAGGGCTCTCAAGCTTCACAGGAACAAGGAGAAGGACTGTAGATCACAACCAATATCCAAAGGAGAAGGACGGCCACCCATCCATGCTATTCTATGAAGTCCCTCCTCAGATGGGAAGCACATCGAATCAACAGAGATCACAGAGAATAACCTACCAGGGAGATTTCAGACACCCTGAAAGTCATTACCAAAGAAGCTCTTCAAATGGGTAAAGCCCATTACTTAAATACAAGAAATATGAACTATCAGGGAAATATATCACTCCCAGAGAAGAACACCCACACAATAAAGGAACAAAGCAGTTTAAATGAGGAAACTTCACATCCTGGGCTTAAAGAACTGCTGATATAAAAACAAGGAATTTTTTGAATGTGATGAAGTTAATAAAAGACTAGTGGAAGAATTTATGGTGAATGCCAAAGGCTAAACAAATTTCAAGAGAATGCAAAAGAGTCCAATGAAAACACAGTTAAAAAAGATCAAAGAAGGTACACATAACAAATCAATTAATTAAGAAAATCAATGCTAGACTCAAAAAAAGTATTTCAATAAAGAGATAAGCATCCTGAAAAGTCATCAAACTGAATGCAGAGAAATAAAACATAAAGTAAAAAGTTTCCACAGCAGAATAGATGGCATAGAAGACAGAATTTCTGGGATTAAAGTGAGAGGAAAAGGAAGGCAGAATAAACAGAGAGGAAGTAAACATACAAAAAAATCCAAGAAGGAGGAAAGGAGTCTTCAAAACTGATCAAAACTTATTTTACAGAAAATAAACAGGATACTTAAGGCTGCTAAAGAGAAAAGATAAGTTACTTGCAAGGAAAAAGCTATTAAATAATGGTAGTGTTCTCAGCAGAAACCTTAAAAAGCAAGAAGGGCTTGGAATGATGCATTTTCAAGCACTGAGATCAAACAACTGTCAACTAAGAATACTACATCCAGCTAAGCTTTCATTAAGGTCCAAAGGGCAAATTACAACATTCTATAATAAATTGAAACTAAAACAAGTTACCACCACTAAACCAGCACTGCAGAAGATATTAAAAGTCATTCTGCATACAGAAGGCCAACATGAACATGACGTAGAGAAAGCAGATCCCTACACATATTTTAACATGAATATTATTTTTGTTTCAGAAATTTTTCAAAAAAATATCTTAGGAGAGAAATTTGATCATTTGTATGCAAGGTTGTTATTCTCAGGGCACTGGATACTGAAAAAAGTAATCTCAAATATATATAGAGAGAAAATTATTTTTAGTGAATTTTAAAATGTTTAAAAAATATGGCTATTAAGATTCGTGTTTCTTTATAGTATTTAAACATTTATAAGTATGTATTTCCTTTTCACAAGTTATTATTATCATGTATATAGCTTACATATATGTGTATACATATATAAGCAAAATTATGATGCACAGCTTACCAAGACAAAAGTTAACAATGTCAAATCTCTGAGTGGAAGAATTTTACATTTTTTTCCTAAAATAATCTAATACTAGCTTTAAAAGTTTAAAGGTAGTATTTTTTTGCTTAGAAAAGTGAAGACCTGTCTATAAATCATTTAAAAAATGCTCAATGTTCAAAATTCAGGGGTATTTCTTCCTTGAGATTTACTTATATTGTTAATTGATTATTTTTCCTTCAAATATGACAGAATTTCCTTGGCTGCTTACACAGGAAAGGGTTTTGGACACCTGGGAATATAATTTGGAAGCAGAATGAAAAGAAGCATGGAGATGCTACTTACCCACTGTCTGGAAATTCAGAGCAACCATCTGACAGCCAGCATTCCAGAAGAGCTGAGGCATGTAGTTGGATGAATCCACGCGGGTGCCTTTTGGGTATATCCTGCTGAGCTGCATTTTGTTATATCTGGACCATCATGTTAAGTAGTGAATACAATTATAAAAAATATCTAGTTTAAGTCCTTGTCTTTCTCCATTGCAGAAATGAAATGGTCATAACATATCCACATGGAATTTATGGATAAAATATGCCAAAGACTGTCTGAACCAATAACAAATGTGTTTGCTCTTCTAATAAAAGCAGATCATCACCGTGACAGAGTCTTGTGGGTGAAAAGTAAAAGGGCAGCAAAAATAGCTGAGTGGAATTCAGCGGAATAAGCTTAATAATTATGGACACAGAAGGATACTAAAGCTCATTGAGTCATGTGAGAAGACGGTACTGTGTGCACTGTCTTTCAAAGAAGCAGCTAAGAGTTCAGCTATATATAGCTGGTACTGGGGCTTGAACTCAGAGCCTCAGGTTTTTGCCTGGCCTTTTTGCTTAAGGCTAGCACTCTACCACTTGAGCCACACCTTCACTTCTGGCTTTTTGCTGGTTAATTGTTGATAAGAGTCTCACAGATTTTCCTGCCCAAGCTGGCAGGATCAAATCATGATCCTCAAATCTCTTTCTCCTGCATATCTAGGATTACAGGTATAAACCACTAGCCCCTTGGCTGCATTGCCATTCTTGAAATACTGCTCCTTGCTCTTTTCCTTAACTGGCAATGGTATTTGCCAAGACTGGTAGTATATGTGATTGATAATGAGATAAATAAAGCACAGAGGCTTATAATTGTGCCTTAGCTTTGGTTCAGTTTCCATTCTAAGAACTTTGACTATGACTGACAGTTGTGAAGTTAGATAAAGGTCAGCTAAGGCTCTGAGCCAAGTGCTTAGGATCCGAGGCTTGACTCTGAAATGTGTTTACTAATGATCTTGATAAAGTAATTCTGCCTTTTTGTATTGCAGGTTTCTTACTAATAAAGTCAATTTAATAATTTGTACATCGCAGGTTTATCATGAGAATTAAGGGGGATGAAAGGTGGCTTTTTACTGTAGGATTTGTTTCATCAAATTGAATACTTCCATATGGTTAGCATTAATTTTATGGAAAAAAATTAAAAGCTCATTTGATTCTGTTTTGTTTCATGAATAATAATGATAGTAAAAAGGTTGTATGAACAATGATGTTGTTATATATATATGTTTACAACATATATATATATATGTTTACAACATATATATGTTTACAACATATATATATATATATAAATATAATGATCATTATTATCATCATCATTCAACTTTTTTTTTTGCCGGTCATGGGGCCTGAACTCTGGACCTGGGCGCTGTCCCTCAGCTCTTCAACTCAAGGCTAGCGCTCTACCACTTGAGCCACAGTGCCACTTCTTGTTTTTCTACTTACACGATGCTGAGGAATTGAACCTAGGGCCTCATGTATGCAAGGCAAGCACTGGACCATGGAGCTACCTTCCCAGCCATTCAATTTTTTTAAATTGGATGGGTATTACATTCATGTGATCAGGATTATGGTATAGATACACATTATCTATATATTCTATATGCATAAAGTACATAGCCTTGGCTCAACATATATTATACCTAATACAAACAGGAAATCGTAACAGTATTTCTGTTTGGAGGAAAACCATGATTAAGCAAATTAGCAAGGGGCTCAGCTTGATGGTATGAGAGAACAGAATCCTGTGTTCTTGGGCTTTCTCTACTCTAAGCCTAGCTGGCCTTCCCATGGGGCAGGCTAGGTCTCCTCAGCATTGAGTGTGAGACCTGGGACCATTCCTCACATTTGTACTGTAGACATGAGCCGATTGATACACCTTCCCCCTTACTAAACAAACAAACAATCGAGTAGCACATGACTTCAGAGGTGCTGTTTCCAAAGATATTCGTCAAATCAAGGATACTCGACAAATTCCACCGGAGACTTGGTGAGCTGTTCCAGCCCTTTGGTTTCCACAAAGGAAGACATTTCAAAACTTTTGTTTCTTTCTGAGGTCAACAACAATAAAAAAGAGAAGATGAGAAATAAAATTCACCATGATAACCCTTGTGTTTCTATATCTCATACCTTTATAAAAAGCATATATCTGATAGTTTTATAACATAAAAGAGGTAGGTGATAGTCAATGAAGTTGAAGGAAATTGAATGCAAACATAACTTTCATATTCTATCTTTTTTTCCAGTGACTACCACCTATGACAACAGTTAAGTCTTGATCATTGTCTTGACTAATATTTATGAATTGGTGTCACAAACTTGTGGTTGTGCAACTTAGGGGTAAGAATGAGTTTTAGATGAACCCAGTGTGGAAATAAAAATGGATTTTGTAAGATCGTTTGTTCTCAATCCATCCAGATTGGTTTCTTATACTAACAAATGATACCACAGGACATTTGTGCTAGTGCTGAGTATGTTATTCATGTGCACATTGCCACCTTTTCTTACTTTCCTAATAGCTAATGTGGCCTCAGAATTAAGATAGTCACAGTAAAAAGACCCTTGGGAGTTTTCCAGATTTGGGCAGGGTGTGTGTGTGTGTGTGTGTGTGTGTGTGTGTGTGTGTGTGTGTGTGTGATTTTCATATCAGGAAATAAGGACAGAGAAGGGGATGTGTTGCTGATCTCAACATTCTTAAACTACAAAAGTGCTTTAAAAAGAAAGGAAAAAACCACACACAAAAAGAATATAAGCCTCCAATAAAAGTGAGGGGAGCAGCTGGGTGCTGGTGGCTCATTGTGTGTAATCCTAGGAACTCAGGAGGCTAAGATCTGGGGATCCTGGTTCAAAGCCAACTCAGGCAATAAAGTCTGCAAGACTCTTTTTTTTTTATTTTATTTTGGGTCCAATCATGGGGCCTGAACTCTGGGCCTGGGCGCTGTCCCTCAGCTCTTCAGCTCAAGGCTAGCGCTCTACCACTTGAGCCATAGCACCACTTCCAGCTTTTTTCTTTTTGCTTATGTGGTGCTGAGGAATTGAACCCAGGGCCTCAGGCATGCAAGGCAAGCGCTCTACCACTGAGCCACCTTCCCAGCCCTGCAAGACTCTTATCTCCAATAAACTACTTAGAAAAAGCAGGAAGTGGTGCTGTGACACAAGTGGTAGAACAGTAGCCTTGAGCACAAGGAAGCTCAGAGATAGAGCACAGGCACTGAGTCCAAGCCCCAGGACCAGAAAAGAGAGAGAGAGAGAGAGAGAGAGAGAGACAGAGAGAGAGACAGAGAGAGAGAGAGAGAAGGACAGAGGGAGGGAGGGAGGGAGGGAAGGAAAGAAAGAGAGAGAGAGAAAGAAAGAAAGAAAGAAAGAAAGAAAGAAAGAAAGAAAGAAAGGAGGGAGGGAGGGAGGGAGGGAAGGAGAGAGGGAGGGAGGGAAAAGAAAAGGTGGGGAGATGGGTACTAGTGGCTCAGGCCTGTAATCCCAGCTACTCAAGAGGCTGAGACCTGAGGAACGTGGGTTGAAGCCAGCCCAGGCAAGAAACTCCATGAGAGTCTTACCTCCAATTAACCACCAGAAAACTGGAAGTAGTGCTGTGGGTCACAGTGGTAATATACTAGGTTTGAGCCCAAAAGCTCAGGGACAGTGCCTAGGCCTTGAGTTCAAGCTATACAACTGACAGAAAAAGAAAGACAGAAAGGAAGAAAGACAGAAAGGAAGAAAGACAGAAAGGAATAAAGACAGAAAGGAAGAAAGACAGAAAGAAAGGAAGAAAGAAAGAAAGAAAGAAAGAAAGAAAGGAAGGAAGGAAGAGAGAAAGAGAGAAAGAAAGAGAAAGAAAAGAAAGAAGAAAGAGAGAGAGAGAAAGAAAGAGGAGGCAAAAAACTGTTTCAGCTCAGATAGACGGACAGTCAAACAACTCTACTCTCTAACCCCACGGGACATCAACAGTGGTGCCCAGCATTCAGAAGCAAGTCCAACAGAGGTTAGACAGCTCAAAGATTTTAAAACCAAGTGACCTTTGAAAATTGCTCTCTTTTTAATCTCCTTTCTTTCAAAATCAAAACCTCATTCCTTGCCTAAATGCCAGATTCCATTTTTAGCCATCTCCTGCCTTCTCCAGTGTACTCTCAAGTTCTTTTATTTTGGTTCATCATAAATCCACTTTCACATGACTATTTTAAACATGGCTGCTGGTGACAATAAAGTGAGCACAGGATGAATAGTTTATAAGATATCCTCACCCTCACTTTCCTAAGGAAGCAAATAACAAGGATACAACCCCAGAAGAAAGGCATTTCTAAATCTGGCTGATGTCATCTGTAGGTTCTACAGATCTGTCCCTTCTCACACTTGGCTTTGTTGAGGCTATTTTAACTAGTGAATTAGGAAAACTTATTTCATAGCCCATGAAAGTTAAAGTAATATAAAGGTCACCATTTTAGGTTATTGAACAACATAGTATTAGTTATGACAATGTTAAGAAATGATGAAATTCCAGGCACCAGTAGCTCATGCCTGTCATCCTAGATACTCAGGAGGCTGAGATCTGAGGATCAAGGTTCAAAGCCAGCCCAGGCAGAAAGTCTGTGAGATTCTGATCTCCAAGTAATCACCAGAAAACCGGTGGTACTGTGGCTCAATTGGTAGAGCACCTGACTTGAGCTGAAGAGCTCAGGGACAGCATCCAGGCCCAGGGTTCAAGCCCCATGAGTGACAAAAAGAAAAAAAAGAAAAGAAATGCTAACATGTTCCATATGAACTGTGCTATTAGATACTGAATGTCACTAAGTTAAGACTCTGGTCAAATGATGCAACTATCAGCCAGCCTGTTGTATAGGGATTTGGGCTGAAGTCTATCCACAAAGCTACCCTTTTGCAGAGGCTGCTGCACTTAAGCAAAATTTCAGTTTTAGTGAGGACATCTTCACAGGCCTTACTGTAAGGAAACATTTGCTCCACTGTTAGTATCTTACACTTCATGCAGATATGAGGGGGAACTTTCATAAAAGTCTCTGTTCTTTATGTGCGGGAAAGACGATACTTTTTGCACTCAGTATGGATGTGTAGTTGGATGAAGAGATGTGATGGGAAATCTGTTATATGATCTCTCAAATGAGTTGCATAAATGGAATCTGGGCAAATTGGTTTGATGTCAAGTTATTGGGATCATCCAGTTTTCTATCTGCCTTCTGTGGAATGGGTGTTTGTTCTAATCAGTTACATAATGGATGAATTACAGTATGTTCCAGTTGCACAAAAGTGAATACAAAACTCTCAGTCAGTTTCATGTTAGTTTAATATAACTAAGTATAAAATAACTAGTTTAAGATAACTATGTTTAGTTTGTAACTTCATTAACTACTTCAGAGAAGAATCATGAGATACTTTCTCGAGTGATTGTATTATATATTAAATACATACACGATATCAATATATCAGAAGTTGTAGGTACATATATTTGTATTTAGGTGTATAAATATATAAGTATATACATTTATGTTTGTAATACATTATATAATATGTTTATATATACATGTAGGTGTATACATATATACATACATATATATATAAATCAAGATACTCAGATCCTGCATATATTTAAGACTTCACTAGGATAGAATAATTCTATTAAAAGTCACATGCTCTTATCTATTTACTTTGTATTTACAATTTGCTTTATACTACATTAGGAACTTTTTTAAGGTTTTTATGGTAAAAATACTGTACAGAGGGGTTACAGTTACATGAACAAGGAAATGAGTACATTTCTTATCAAGCATTGTTACTTGCTCCTTTCCTTCCAGAGAACACTTACTTTTTGAAATTTCAAATGACTCAAACTTGACTGGCTGAATATAGTTCACCAGGTTAGACATCTCCTCTGTGGCCATGGCCTCACTCCCAGCGGTGCCCTGGAAGCAGGAATGAAAGATAAATCCTGTCCAGAGACAGCCTTGTGGCACTAAGGGGTTACTTTCCCCAGGGAAATGGTCTCATGACTGGAGAGAGGAGAAAATCACCCTCTCCCCTCTGGACAGGATGATTGCCAAGAGAAAGGCATGATGGGAGATAAGACACAGCATTCAGGCTGATCAGACAGGATTCGAATGTCAGATTTGGAAATATTTGCATCTGTGGAAAGAGATACCTTGGAGGGGACCCGTGACTTATCGGAAGATTCACTTGTACTTCACAGGCATCTTATACACATTGCTTTATGGTAATTTTATATAATATCTATAAGTAATTTGGTGCTTAAAGCCAAGTTGGACAGGATAGAATTTCTCACTGGTGGCATGCTACTGATCAAAACAAATTTGGATAGGGGGGCATTTCTCAGAAGTTCAGACTCAAAATGGAATTTTTCAGTCTTTAGTCAGTCACTTGACAAAAGTGAAGGATGGTAGGAGGCAGTGTAGTTGGGGTTGGAGGGAGATCTGAGAGCCACAACCTTGGCCCTGTAAGAGGGAATGGAAGACATATGACCTTGGGTCAGAATCTGCATTTTAATAATGCAAGGAAACTAAAGTTTGGGATGAGACTTGATTTCTGTCTTCCCTACCAGGGAGTGTACATGTAATGTCTGAGGTGAGGAGACTGGACACTGAATGTATAGTATGGCCATGCTGTGGGTGGCCACTGAATGAACTTAACAGCTGTCAATAAGAAAAATAGAAGGGTAACTCGTTGGGAGTGGGTGGGGGTGGCCTAGAAACTGCTTTTCTGACTGTTTTTTCCCTCTCAGTTCCAGTGTAGCTGTTAGACAAAGAGTGGTCGGATAGCCTAGGGTTAATAGATCATGTTCTGTACCCAGACCATCTGATTTTAAATGTCAAGGCCAATTAGTTGGATGTTGTGCAATCTTGGACAAGTGACTTAGCTGCTCTTTGCTTGAGTTTGCCCATTTGTAAAATTAGAGTGAAATCAGTTCTGATGGCATATAGGGGTTGTTGTGACGAGGAAATGAGTTGCATTTATGAGCAAAAGGTCTCAGAGCCTGGCACCTAATAAAAGCTCATGGTGCTTTTGCTGGTGTTGACTACTATAGATTAATTCCATAGAATCTGTGCTAATAAGGAAGTAATACAGCAGTATAGCCACAGGTCAGTTCTCCACAAGACAATCAGTTTTTTTCCCTCAGTTTTAAGAAGAAAATCATTTGACCCGCCTCTGATAAGTTATCTAGCTTCAGTGCAGTTAGCATTTTTGAGACTACAATGTGACTTGAGATGCTTGAATATTTACAAATAGGTACCAGTGACCCATTTCTCCAAACTCTGTATCTCCCAGAATTTGGATCCTTTGGCAATTTGTTAAATTGCCTTAAGATAAATAAATAAATAAATAAGACATCTCCCTCCCCCCACCAAATGTTATGCATTTACTCTTTTTGCCACTAGATGGCAAAAGGGACCATGGAATAGACTCAAGAAGCTCAAGGGGCTGGGACAGCCTGTGACCCACCCTGGAACAAGGAGCCCTCATTACCTACCTCATCCATGGAAGATTTTTTACAATCATCATCATCATCGTCATCATCACTCTCTGTATCAGCTTCCCCTGTAAAAGTTTAATGAAAGAGCCTGGCGTCAGTATTTGCAAGTTCCGAGCACTTTTATGAGCCTATTACCAAAATCTGATTAGGGAGTTCCTTGGAAATGGACTTTCTGTTCGCTTTAAAATTATTTTCCTCCAGGACTGAAATGTTAACAGTTATGGATAAGGACGCTGACATTGTGCACAGGTTTCTCTCTCTCTCCCCTACATTTGCTTTGTGAATAAAAAGTTCACACATTCCCAAATTCAGTTTAAAGATGCTTATCTGTCTTGTGTGTGTGTGTGTGTGTGTGTGTGTGTGTGTTGCAAATGAATGGCATTTTATACACACGGCTTCCTGCAACACAGGTCTTCTCTAGGTTCTATTTTGATCTCTTCATTCCATGTCCAGCATTAAGCTTTATGACTGTCATGGACTCGATCCACTATCCCTTGGTCAAGTTTCTTCCTTCTAAGCCTTGGCTCTTCCAAGCAATGGCTATGACATGTGTTGCTCATGTTATATCTAACCAATGCACATGTCTTGGAAAAGGTGGCATTCTGCTAAAGGGAAAAACTAAGACAGATGAATGCTTCACAATTATTGTACTTGAACATCAGACTCTGATCAATGCTTGAGCGTGAGACAATATAGTCATTTCAATGAATTGGTTTTTCTCTCCCTGTCCTTCTTCCTCGTAGCTCTAGTGACTATTTTTGCTATTATGAAATGCCAACACTAATGTGAAATATTTTATTCTTCTGTACATATGGGCTTCAGTCAGATGCAGTAAAATTGATTAATATTAATATAAAAATAATTTGAAATAAAAGGAAAGGTAAGGTTAACTTCGAGTTCACAGGTTGAAGTACCATAATGTGGCCAGAAGAGGGCAATATGCGCTCAACAATGAAGCCACTTGCATTACTCCACCCTAGCTCCAACCTGCTCCCAATTCTAGCCTTCTGGGAGTTATCAGTGGGACTCTATATAAATTAAATCTACATAAGTCTATATATTAAATCCAGATAAATAACTCCTGCCCACAGTACTGCCTTATAAGGGGCTCAAAAATGTTTGCAAAAATGTTGAACAAAAACAGTGAGAGATGAATTTGTGAATTATCTTTGGGAGGAAAGATTCCTGGGACCAATAAGAATTATTCATGGCTTGTTTATTAAAGACACTTTATGTTGCCAATATTGTGACAATGTAATTGATCCTGCTTTGACTAAAAATGTATCTTACTACATTAGAGACATTGTTTTGGACATTACTTACTTTTTTTAATATTCTAAATTTTGCCTCCAAGTTGTTATTTTATCTTTGCATCCGAGGGGAAACTATTTTTTTCTTTTATACCCACATTCATGGGCTTTAAGACCTCACTTTTTTGTTGTTTGTTTGTTCAAGACTGGCTCTGTTCCACTTGAGACACCTCTCCATTTCTTGCTTCTTGCTGTTTAATTGGAATTAAGCATCTCACACTTTTCTGCCTACACTGGCCTCAAACCCTAACTCTCAGATCTTGGCCTCATGAGTCGCTAGGATTACAGGTATGAGCTACTGGTGCCAGGATTTTAAAAATTCTTTTAATCAAGTAAATTGAAAAGTACTTGCTGAGGCGACTGCAAAGGAACTCATGGGACATAATAGGACATCAATCACTTCCAATATCCAGTCGGATCATTCTTTGGCTTATTTGGAAAAGAAATAATTTGCCTTTCACATCTATAAGAGCAAAGATCTATTTTTCAGTCACATTTAAAAAAATTGATACATAGTTATACATATATATGGAGTTCTCTTGTAAAGCTTGTGAAGAATTTTGAAGGAAACGTCAAATTATATTTAAAAAACAAAACCAAATCTTTTTCTTGACCCTATTTCTTTAAGACTAGTGTTCTGGCTACAGGCTGAATCCAAAATGAGGCACTTGGCCATCAGATACTATGATAAGACTCTGATCCATTGTATGGCCTTCAAATAACATTAACTCCCAATATGGCAAATGTCTGTAAACTACATGATAAATTAGCAGCATCCTTCGTTCGGGGACTTAGCTACATATGAAAATGTCCAAACGTTTCCATGGAAATAAATAAGGATTGCACAATGGATGGTGGGTTTGCTTAGGAAAACTACGGGAATTACTGACAGATTGCTGCTGCTTGTTCTGGGTGTGACGCAATCGCGTCCACTGCCCGCACACATCGTTATTTGTGTTGAAGCATTCCAGTTCACAAGAGGGGAGAGATGGCTGCTAGCAAGAAACACAGAGGGTCAACCCGGAAATCTTCCTCTCACTTTTGCTCAGGATTTCCCCCCGTGCTACGGCAGACATACAAAGTGAATTTGTTGTGGCATTTTCACCTAAAACCATAAAATAAACAAAACATAAAAACAAAATCAAGCAGCCACATAAAAGGGATGACTTGGTTTGCTAGCTGGCAGTGGAAGAACAGAAAATAGGAGGAAATCAGTGGTCTCTAATAACAATCTTTTCAGCAAGAGTATTCTCACTACAAAATGAAAGTTTCCAAAAAGCTAGCCAGAATGGCGTGACAAAATGTTGGAAATGCACATTCCACAGGAACAAAACAAAACCCTTTCAAAGAGTTATATGTGTTGATAACGATGTGAATCAAGCAATGGGCAAGTGACACAGAAAAGCAGAAGAAACCATCAATCAGATGGTTTGAGGTATAGCTCAGTGGTAGAGTACTTGCTTTACAAGCAGGAGGCTCTGGGTTTGGTACCCAGCATTGCCTCTCACAAAAGTGTTGGCTGACCAAATGTATACCTCAATGTTTAACTGTGCTGGACACTTAAAGGTAGCCCACACCTTTAATCCTAAGTACACAGGATATTGAGAATTGAGGCTGGCAGTTTGAAGCCAGCCTAGAGTCTGTAAGACCCTTATCTCTAATTAAGCACCAGAGCCATATATTTTGAAAGAGCAAGAAGAAGAATTAAGTGTCACCTAGTAGCTTTGGTAGATAATTTAGTAGATAATTTTGCCATGCCACAATTTCTTTTGCAAGCTTATAAAGCACAGAGAGTTGAGATGCCCAGATCTTTGTCCATGAGCTTGCTTTCAGTAAGATTAGGACCCTCAGTCCTGCTGCTAAGGTTTCTCATGAAGACAAACTCATACAGTGACTCCAGAAATTATTTGGCTTACGTGGAAGCCATACTAATGTACTCTCCCACATATTCATGTCTCGTGTAACCAAAAGAACTTTGCCAATGAAGTTCAGGACCTGGAGATGGGAAATTCTCCCTGGATAGCTGGGTGGGTCTGAGGGAATGATGGGAAATTTTAAAGCACAGTGCATTCACCAGTGCTGGTCAGAAGGTCATGTGACTTCAGACGGAGGACTAGTGAAATGTTGCCTTTGAAGCAGGAGGAATCTGTGAGCCAAGGAATGTGGGTGGCTTCTAGAAGCTGGAAAAACAAGGAAACACATTTTTTTTTTCCTGTAGAGTTTCCAGAAAGGTACACAGAGCCAGTGACACTTTGTGGGTCGCTCAGGAGAGGCCAATAGACATTTGGACCTATAGAACTGGAGGGTGGGAAAGAAATCTGTCAAGTCAGCAAGAGAAAACCAGTGCCACTTAAAATGGTGCCCAGCCGGGTATGCATCATTCTGAACGAATTTCAAAGCAGCAATTCTCAGAATCCACACATGACACCAGCCCACCAGCTCCTCACCGGCTCCTGGAGATGAGGGCTCAAACACACTGGAGGAATCGCTGCACGTGTTGGAGGCCTGCTCCGACAGTTTCTTCTTGCCGCTGCCCTCTGATGACTTGTGAGATTTCTTCTTGTTTTTTACCAAAATTTTGTACATTAAATCCATCGGGCTTGGAAGAGGAACTCCGGATTCCAGCTAACAAAAAGAAAAGCACAGTCTTTAAAAATCCTGCTCCTTCCTTTCAGATGCCCTTCACCCCCTCCCTCAGCCCAACTTGAGATTCCAGGACTTTCTAGATTATTCTTTACCACCTTCAACACAGCCCATGAGACTATCCTAAGTGTGTTCTGCAGGTAGGCTGGTCCATAGTGATAACCCCACCCCTCTCCCCCAACCTTTTACTGGGCTGTAATTTTCCATTAAAAAAAAACTATATATTGGATGTATAAAAACTGAACTTTCATGAAGTTTTTATTTTCTTTTTTCCCTTACTGGATGATATAAATCCAACCACTGTGATATAGAGTAGGGAAGAAAATCCTGGCCTGGTGTGAATGTTCAAAGGCCTGAAATCAGTGGAGCTGGAGTTACTGGCAACACCTTATAGATGTAGCTATAAACCAGCTGAGTCCCATCTTGTACAAGGTGACTGCACTGCATGCCTCCTTGGCATCACAGAGATGGATCTGGTGGTTTTGGATTTCTTTCTAGCTCTGAGATTCAAGCTGCCATATTAGGTTGGCTTTATTCTACTGTTTCATGCTTGCCCATCTAATGGGAAAAATCAATTTCCCATGAGAGGGTGGTGATAAGATATGGTATCAGTGAGCAAGGGGATAAGCCACAGGATAGATTTATTTTTAGAAAGTCTATTGAACTCCTGTAAGCCAGACTTCATTCTTTGCTTGCAGTGAGTCTAGGGACGGGTATGAACTCACTTAAAGTTGTACAGAGATTGGGCTAAAAGGTCCACAAGGCAATAGGCTACTTGAGGACATGTCTGCTGTTTTCCTTCTTAAAGCAGGGATTTGATGGTTAGCTGTTTGGGGTCCTTTGGCTCCAATCAGATAGAAATCATGATTAGGCTGGGAGAAGCTCATCTTGTGTTGACAATCCTGGGCCCTTGAATGCCCAAGACCTTCTGGCTGGACTGGCAGAACCATAGGCTTAGAGCTCTAAGCTCTGAGAGTGAAGAGTCTATTATTGCAGGAATCTTATGACTCCTGTCACTCATGTTGGAGGTTTGTTGCTCTGCACTTTAGTTACCAGTGTCCCTGACACTTGGAGTCCTTGGCTTTCCAGAGGCAGTGAGTAGAGTAGCAGCAGCAAGCAGAACGTGCTAGTGTCAAATTTCTGAGCAGGCCCCTGGTATGTGTAACTCTGACTCTTAAGGTGGGTAATGTTACAGTTCTTGGGACTGGGATTCTTGAATTTTGGCTTTAGGCTTGGCAGCTCCCTAGAGCTCTTCCAGAAACTCGGGTCCACAGTTTCTCATCATTTGCTCTTCATAGCCTTTACTGTCTTCTGCTTCCTGCCTCGTCTAATCATTCAGTGCCAGTCTTCAGCCATTCTCTCCAACATAATGCAACTGCTAGTCTTGCTTTCACCACCAGTGCTGCTAGTACTACTGGTCTGCTGCCATTTCTTCTTCATGTCACCAGCTCATTCTGCTCTGCTAATGATGACAATGAAAAATAGGGAAGAAAGTCCACTCCACTGGAGAGAAGCTTTTAATTGGCCTAGTATTACAATGTCAGGGGGCAGCATTGGAGGGCATCTCCCAGTTGGCTCAAAACAGTGAGTTCAACAGTCTTCATACATAGCCACAAAGGGTTGCACCAAGAGCATTTAGCCTTCTTCTAGCCCACTCAGGGAAGTGCTTCCCATTCTAGCCTGAATGAAAATAGCCACTGGAGTTCACCAAGGCTCGCATGAAAAGTATTAGGGGTAAGCTGCTTGAAGCAGCTGTGTTTGGAATGGTCCTTCTGAAGCTGGGGTTACGTGTTGGCAGTGAGTAGCTGCGGTTATAGTGTAGCTTCCTCAAGGCATCCTCAGAGTGTCAAAAGCAGCGGGATTGTCATGTGGGGATCCACCCAGCCTCCAAAGAGGGCCTGTTCAGCTGACAGTCCTCAAGAGTCAGCCAGCTATCAAAAATGGTCTAACAACCACCCTACTGGGAAATCAGTTCACTCTGGTCACCAACATCTTAGCTTATTTAAAGGGAAATTAACTTTCAAAGAGATGCTTACAATAAAGACCTTTCATTCACATGAACAATATTTCACAGTACTTAACAGTGCTCTAACTTCACTAAATACCCTTGTGGAGAATTTGGGTCATTTTTTTTTGTCTCATGACCCTAGAAAGTCTAAGTTCTACCTCAAAGGTGCATGCAAAGGTAAATACAAGTAGGCAACAGACAGCAGGGTGCCGAGAAGAGACTCAGAAAGGAAGCAAGACTCCCGAATCCCAGGTTTTCCTTCAAGGGCAAGCATTAGAACTTCTTACTGGGTATTTTTCCAGTGGCTCCATGAGAAGGGCGTCCCCAAAGATCAGTCGGCAGTATTCTGCCATCTTGGCTTGCTGCTTTGGGCTACGGAAGAACAAGAACAAAAAACAAGAGGGGAGGCATTACTCATCATGCAAAAAGGTCATCCCCTGTCCTGCCACTCAGGACCAGTTTCTATCATTTTATCCCCTGGTTCTGACTTAGGTGAGTTTAGGTAACACATCCAGTATAGGTGGACAATGATGGCTCTAAGTGTGAGCCTGAGGAGAAGACGAGGGATGGATTATCTCTAGATGGATTCCTCATTGGACACTTTCTCTTGGTTTCATTTTTGATATTAAGTCAGTGGATGACAATTGCAGGGGGGACTTTTTTTTAATGGATTTAAGCCAATTTTTATGTGGAATTTATCAGACTGACAACTGAAAAGTGATACAAGGAGGAGGGAGAAGAGGGTGGCGAACTATCAGTAAAGAGAGAGAGAGAACCTCAAATGTAGAGTGGGCTTGTGGAGGAGTTTTGCAGGATGAATGAAAACAGAAGGCCCTTTGGGGGAAAGGTATTTGCCTGTAGTGTGTGTGTGTGTGTGTGTTTAGAGAGACTGCAGGTATGCACTACCATGTCCAGCTTGTCTGCAAGTCTTTGGTACAAAAGAGTGAAGCTGAGGAAGTGTCAGTCTGAGAAAGCCACCAACAGGAGTGTGTTGTTCTTTGAGCTGAGCTCCGGGTTCTCTGAACTGCTCTGGATCGATAAAGCAAGGATGATCCTAACTGTTCCTGGAATGGGACAAAGAATGTTGAGAATCATGAAAGGAAGTGATAAATGCAAATGCTTTTGAAAGGCAATCTGAGCAGGGCTTGTGTAAGATGATCTCAACAGCAGAAAGATCCCAGGAGCTGACCTGGGTCATCTTAAGTGGGTGTGGTCTGCCAGGTGAGCCCCAAATCAGGATCTAAGAAGGATGGAAATGAGACCATGTTTATGACTCAGTGCCACTAAAGGAACACCTGAGTCCTTAATGCAGAAAAGCGTGATAGTCCAGTCCCTTGGTTCACAGAAGGAATGCTCTGGAACCTGCGTTCTAAACAAGACTATGGGTAATTCAGATGGAGATCATCAGTAGACCACAGTGTTTGGCTCTCACACTGCATGCAGGTCATCAGAGACCTGAGTGAAAGGCAGGTTTACACACAGAATCCAGGAGTAAGGCTGCATTTCCAAGAGCTTCCCACCAGGAATGCTGAGGCTGCTGCGTGGTCTGAGGACCACACTCTGCAGAGCAGGGAATCTATGTCTGAGATGTGGAGAGGAAAATGTAGGTGTCTAATAAAGAAAAGAGAACAATACTTCTTAGTAATCAGGCTATTCAGGCTCTCAGAAAATCCATATGCCCACCTGCAAAGAGAGCAAACCAAATGAGAAAAGTCAGGGGAAAACAAAGTGACTGTAATTGCAGGTCAGAACTATAGAAATCAAAGGCATTAACACTGCAATTAGCCAAAAGAAAGAAAAAAAATCCTTCAGGATTTTAGAACATCAGATCAGCTACCATGGAAATAATGTGAATTCACAAATATATTTTGAGCTTCCAGCCAAATGGCTGTTTCTAAACCTATGAAAAATATATGGAATGAATAAACATCTAGCCAGTGGTCAGTTTTGCTGACAAGTAAAAATAAATCAACTTCATGTATAGAGGAAGTGTCTGTAACTCATGGGAATTAAAGACTTTGGCCCCAAATCTTACAGTTGTTTGTGGCCAAATCAGGGCTAAAGGCTCCTTTACCTAAATTCAGTGTCACATTCTCCCTATGAAAGTATTCACTAACAGATTACGTGAAATATCAGAGAAAATTGGACATAAAACTTTTCCTTTTTTTCCCTCCTCTTCTGTTGCTGCTCCTGGGGCTTGAACTCAGGGCTTGGAAGCTCTCCATGAACTTTTTGCTCTCTACCACTTGAACCACAGCTTCTTTTCAGGCTCTTTTTTATTTTGGCAGTTAATGGGAGATAAGAGCCTCATAGGCTTCCCTGCTCGGGCTGGTTTTGAACTGTGATATTTGGATCTCAGTCTCCTGTGTAGTTAGGGTTACAGGTGTAAGCCACTGGCACCCCATGGGGCATTTTTTTGTTAATCTAAAGAATCTCAATTTCTAGAAATAATTCAGGGGTGGAGAAGGTCAAGAGTCTTTATTTGAAGTTTTTTCTGTGGGCATGGGAGTGGGAAGCAGCAGGTGAGGAGGTGGAAAGCAGTGAATGGCAGAAAATCCTTTGTCATTCATGGAGAGGTAATTTCAAATATCTGGAGTAAGATCATAAACAAAACTGTAAAATCCAGTAGATTTCTTCCAGTTCTCTCCCCCTTTTTTCCCCCTTTTTCTCCCTGCCCCCAGTGTGATTTTGGAGATATGGGTTGAATTAGTAGAAACCAGATTTTTGAATCTGACATTTCATAGAAACAACACAGAAGAGATGGCAATGTTTCACCAGGAAGGGCAAGCCAGCTTCCTATGTTTTAAGATTATGTTTCTCATCACAGGGATGAGAAGGTTTTGAGGTTCTATGTATGTTAATGTGAAAGAAAGGACTGAGATGTGAAGAATGAGCTCTGTCTCACAGGTTGAAAACTAGTAAAGATAACTCACAAGTTAAGAGAAGAAGTCTACTACTGTGGTAGACTTTTCTGTGAGTAAGTAACACCTTTCCCAGGAAAGACTTGTACCTGAGCAATTTTGATATCTGGAACTGAAGGACAGAGGAAATACAGGGCAAAAATTGTCTTCACACAAGTTAATTCTTTAGGCTTTGGCTGTCATTAAATTATTTCAGTGGTTTAGGTTACAATCATGGTGGCTTGGAAGGCTATTTTCCTGTCTGCTTTTATATGTTTGAATTATTATAGACTTTTAATAGCTATTTTTATATACCCAGAAAGGGCAGAATCCTAGCCCTACCATATGTTTTGCTTTTGTGCATGACTGTGGATTTTTGCTACTTTGCAATGCTCACTTTTTGACCTCTACATGACTGATATGAAAACTGGCAAAAAAAAATATCCCGTGGTTGAGGGTCACAAGTCATGTAAGTGTGGATATATATGGGCAGGTGCCTTATTGATGATCTGGTCATCATAATGTCACGTTTAGAGGCTTCTGATACTTCAGTTTAGGTTTAGGAGATGGTGTTGGTTCAGGGCAGAGGTTCTGAAGCCACGCTAGCTGGGTTTGAATCCCATTCTGTCATATTTTAGCTGTATCACCTCAGTGAGTTACATATGCACATTGGGATTCAGTTTCTCCCTCTATAAAAAGGGACAGTAATAATGGTTATCCTGAGCAGCATGCTGGTTTGTGGGAAGGGTTGCATAAGCTCAAATATCTGGCAGATCTGCTATGCACAAAAATAATTGGTCAATAAATGTTAGGATTTTGCTGGTGGTAGTAGCCATTGATACCTTTCTGTCTACCTCAAGGTTGAATTCACTGTAGCGGGTGATGACAATTCAGAATACAGCCACAGTTTTCCATTTGGTGTAATTCAACTAGAAATATTCCTTTAATAAAATAATGATGCTGGATCCTCTTACTTTAAACAAAAATGAATGAACCACACATTGATAAATCTGGAAACTACCATGCCTGCAAGAAAAGTATAAAGCATTGTTTGAACCCAATGACAATCGGATAGAAATTCAAAAGAGCTCCAATAAAGTCACTTGCAGATAAGAGTTGTTGGAGTAAATGTGGTATTTAATGCAGCCTCTAAAAGAAGTGTTCCTTTCTGTAAGAAGATAAACAACATTGGGACAGGATAAATTGCATTCTCTTCCACTGACCTAAGAACTGTTAGAAAGAACCTGTGTGCCAAATGATTACATCATTCATTGGATAAATGGCCCATAATGAAATAGCATCAAGAATGAACTGTGAAGTGTAACAGGATTTCCAGGGAGCAAGCTAGAAATACAGAGAAAATATTTGATCTGTGCTTCTTAAAAATTTAGTATATTTTTTAAAAATTTACTAAATGGATGGCAGAATGTGTGGCAAAGTTAGACAAAGAGAGTCAGTGAACAGGGAAAGACTCTCCATAGGAAGGAGAAAAAGAGGAATTTCTGAGCCAAAATAGGGTGTCTTGAGGTGAGAAATGGTGGTGGGATCTTGAGAAGAAAAAGTGGTTTCACATGTGCTCATAGAGCGATGATGGTGTATTCATTGACTAAAGCTTTACTTCCATCAACCGACTTTCACTGTAGATAACAATTGTTTCTGGGGGTATCTGATATAGTGAGTATCTGATAATCTGATATACACATTTAAGATCTAAATGTGTCTCCTGCTGTTACTTTGCGATTGACATGAATATAAATAGTCTGTCCATACTATCTTTGCTTTGTGTGGCTCAACAATAAATGTAGGCTAGTTTGGGGCAGGCAAGCATTTACTAATAAGGGGAAAGCAATGGAAAGGTGGATTGACCATTTGATGGAGTTCTATGGAGGAACAGAAGAGAACTTCAGCTTTCTCTCTACCACCACAGGCATAAAGAGCATAACAAAGGTGACTGTTAATTTTTATGTAATAGAAGAAACGAATGAAGGAAGGTAATAAAAGAGGCCGGGTGCATTCCAGATCTGTCACAGAGATATATGTTATGTATGAAAATATGTTCCATTATCATGTAAAAAGACATCCTTATTTTACAAGTCATAAGATGGTATGAAAATAAATCCCACAAATCCAATGAACTATGTGAGTGCTGCCAAGATTTAAATGAAGATAAAATCATGCTACTACTTGTTACAGTATGTGGTAGAAGAATACCACTAGTGATTCTCCAATCTGATGAACAATTTTTAAAATGATTTCTTTGAGAAAGGACTCCTCCGTGAATGTCTGGAATACTTACGAATCAACGTGGTTCTCAAATGACAAGAGAATGGGAAAAGGTGAAGTCTTAAATGCACACTCAGCAATAGCTTCGATCACTTCCTGAAAATGAGAACACACGCATATTCAATATCGGAGAGGGTATTTTTGCCTTTTTTTTTTGGTCAGTCATAGTGCTTGAACTCTTGGCCTGGGTGCTGTCCCTGAGCTCTTCAGCTCCAGACAAGCCCTGTACCACATTCAGTTTGCTGGTGGTTAATTGAAGATAAGAATTTCACAGACTTTCTTGCCAGGCTGTCCTTGAACTGTGATCCTCAGATGTCAGCCTCCTGAGTAGCTAGGATTATAGGCATGAGCCACTGGTGTCTGGCTTTTTTTTTTAATGTACAGGTTTTTTTGTTTGTTTTTACCTTTAGAGTCTAAGGCCATTAGCAAGGTGGGTTTTATTTGCTTGTTGGTTTGTTTGCTTTGGTGGTGCTGGGGATAAAACCCAGGGTCTCATGCATGAATGTTCTACCACTGAGCTACATGGTGGATCTACCCACATGGTGGATGCTTTAAGTCATAGAATGGTTCCAAGTGGCCTAAAATGGTGCCAAGGAGTTGTGAGGACCACTACAGTATACAGTTTCTGATTCTGGATTCCAACCAGGTAAATAGGGGAAAAATGGCTGAATTTGGGTGGAAAGGGAGATGCAGTTGTGAAGAAGGAAGGTTCTTACGTTGGGTGAAGTGACGTACACTTCTATTCACACTATGGGGAGGTTGAGGTAGGTCGAGTTTGAGGCTTGCTTGGAATACATAGTGAGATTCTGCTCCAAAATAAACTAACTAAATGAAGATGAGGCAGAGGAGATGGAAGAAGACAGGATTCCTCTCTTTATTCATCATACCCTCTATTCTTACAATGAAAGAAATCTAATACATTCTAAAATTAGGGACAATGTGAGGAGGCAAAAATTTCATCCATCATTTCTCCTTGTAATCCAGATCACTGTTAGCATTTTCTCATATTTACTTCTACTCTGTTTTTGATATATTTTGTGACTTAAATTTAATTGCAGTTCATTCTCCATTGGTATTTTTAAAGTTGTTTTTAAAATATAACTGAGATGTGTTTCAGACATTTGGAGTATTTAATTCAATCGTTTTAGAATATTCATACTGTTGTTCAAACATCACGCCAATCTAACATAATTTCAGCACCCCAACAACTTCTGTAAAACCAGAAATCACTTTTCTTCCCCCAACTCTATCCCAAGAAATTATTCTTTGGCAAACATTAAATTAATGTATGTCTTCAGAGATTTTCCTGTTCCAAATATGTTGCCCTCTTGATTAGCTTACTTGCTTACAACTGGCATTTCACCTCTTGAGTCATACCTCAAGTTTTACATGCTGCTGGTTAATTGGAAATGGAGTCTCACAAACACTTCTACCTGGCTTTGAATCACAATCCTCCAAGTCTCATCCTCCTGAATAACTAAGATCATAGAGATGAGCCATCAGTGCCCAGCTCCAAGCATTCTTTCAATATAAAATATATAAAATAAATGCAACCACGTAATATATAATGTGTTTTAGTACTTCCTTCTTCCATCTCAATTTTTTAATAAATATATTTCAGGGTTTAGTGACAGAGAGCTTGCCTGGCATGCTCTATCTCCTGAGTTCTGACCCCAGAACTGAAAAAAAAGTGTATTCTTTAAGCTTCAATAAGTATATAAAACCTTAGAAAACCAGAAGCATATTTGCTTTAACCATTTCTCAACTGATAGAAATGGAAGTACTTTTCTACGAATGGATTCTCAGAGTGGGAATTTATTAAATGGAAGAATATGAACCTTGTCATAATCTCCCGCAGGTCGCCAAATTAGTTTTCATTTTACAATGGCTAGGCTATTACATGAAGGACTGGACTGTCATGCCTGTTCCCTGGCTGGTGTGCATTATTTCTCAAAATAGTTTTATCATTTATCTGATGTTGAGATCCGATCTTGTTTTTTGTTCAATTAGAACATCATCCATACTATTTAGGTTTCACATTCCCATACACGGGTGTTTAGCTGCATACCTTCTTTGCACACTCTCTATAAACAGGAATATCTGCTCTCCTTCCTCATGCCCGGCCTTCTTCTACTCCCTTCTCTACCTTTCCTGTACAATACATAGCTTTCTTTACAGCTATGCTATTAAGCTATTTTACTTGTCCCAGAGTATAAATAAGGCTTTCTAATTCTGTACCACATTTGCATACATCCTCTAAGAAGAGTCTGCATGAGAAGGAAGCATGGCTCTTACTGTTCCTTAGAAGTGAACTCACAGATTGCCTTTCACACATAATCAGTTTAAACTTTTATGGATGCCAAGTCCATCAAAATAAGTGCACTATAAATAGAAAGGGACACTAAAATGTGAAGTTCTTTATTTCATTTATTTGCACACAGGCTATGGGTTCAAATAGACTGATGTTTCACTCTTAAGACTTACAAACTGTGTGACCTTGAGAAAAATCTCCCCAGGCATCTACACCTGGGCTATCTGATCTGTAGTGATAAGCTACCTCCCACTGGTCCAAAGGGAGGATAAAGAAGCCAGAGGTGAAGAAGTGATTTCTTGTTGGGCTGTGTTGACCTGCACTATCTTGTGGAATGGGTGTTTATTTATACTGACTCTAAGAGGTGCTCATTATTATCTCTACATTTCTGATAAGAACTTGGGTGTGGATTGATAAGGCAGCTTTCCCAAGATCTTATAGCTTATAGATGGGGGAGCCTATACTTGAACCAAGGAACAAATGGATGGAATATTCAACTTCAACTTCAGAACAACACCCTTGCCTTCTCCTCCATTTTTCCCATCTCTTTTCTCTTCCTGAAATAACATTTAGAAAATATTTCAAACCATTTGGATGGAGAAGACCTTTTCTGAATTTCATCAAATAATGTTAGGTGGGAGGTACAGAACACTCCAGATGTTTTCTGGGAAGTTCTTTTTTTTTTTGTTTTATTGCCTTGGAAATATTTCAGAGGGTGCCCATCATAGGGCAGCATGACAAAACTGGTGTCATTCTTTCATAGATGGACATTAGATAGGAAAATTTATTCCCCGTTTGCTGCTCCTTACCCAGCCCAAACTAATGTTTGAGGAATTTTAGCACTGGATTCAATCATCTATTAACAATACATTTCCATTACTAATCTCCAGTGGAAAGACCTGCCCTTGAAACTCTTTTGCTTTGGCAAACAGCAGCAGGGAATATTTGGATATCCATTCTATGTATGCATTCATGGAGCCATGAAATTGCACCTTCAATTCTTATCATTTCTTCTCAGGGATGTAAGGAAATCTTACTTTCAGAAATACTCAGTTTGACAACAAACTCATTTAATATGGCTTCATCATGGACTTTTCCATTATTACTCAGTTTTCTATCCCGTACAAACCTTGGTTAAGAGGATACCTCCTGAGAGAATCAAAAGGGCCAGACTTGGAGTGGGCAGGTAGGGATGTCAACTATGATAAAGGAGGAGGTTAAGTGGGAACAGAGCATTAGACCCAAACGTGCATTAGTACTCTATGATTATAGGAAAGACAAAAGCAATATGGCCTACAAACCAAGGAGCAAATAGATGGGACAAATAGTAAAGATAGCCAGACTCTAAGACACAAAACCTTCCATGTCCCCTTCTCTAAGAATATAACCTTTGCTTTTGCCCATACAATAAATAGGCCAATAAGAATTCTTGCTTAGGGGGCTAGATTGCGTATAAGTGTTCAAGATCAAATGTCCTGAAAGGAGATAAATGATGTGACAGTAAAACTTTGCAATCAGTTCGTTTTGCTGCCAGCAATTCAGCCTAGGTGTAGAGGACAATGTAATTACACTGTGAAGGTCAAGTCCAAATATATGGGAAAGCCCAAAGGGAGCCCAATCTTGGGAGCATCTTTTCATAGTCTCCCAATAGGTTATGCATGAAATTATAGGAAACTGTGGCCAAAATTCACTAGTGTGATGAATAGAGGCAAGAAAGACTAAAAAGGAAAGCTCTGCTATGTTGTGTTTTGTTTTTTTTCCTACTTCATTTGGGATGGGAAAAATTCATCCAAAACATTTACTAGGCAATTGCTATTGCAGGTCAGGTTTTGATCAAAGTGCTTCAGACAGATGAGGGAACAAGACAGAGATCCCTATCTTCACACGCTAGTGGGAGACTCAATAAATAAAGGTCATGATAATTAAATTAAGCAGTGTGTTATAAAGGTTAGACGCAGAGGTGTGAGAGAATTTGAATCAAGATGGGGAGGGAGACTCATGGCTGCTTGTCAGCATTACATAGAGAGAGGACCCAGTCAGCCTCATTCTGAAGGTGACATTTAAGAAAGCTACTAGGAAATCAGCAGGGAGCCATGTGGATACCCAGGAAAGGGTATTCCAGAGAGGAGAATCTAGTGCAAAGTCTCTGAGTTAAGACTTGCTTGTCCCCAGTAGGAGAGGGGAGAAAGAAGGTAATTCAAAGAGTGGAACTACTGTTGGGATTTGTCCCCTGTTTCTTCTCTTTTCTTTCTTTTTTAAAATAAGTTTTTTTTTTATTGTACAGAGAGTTTGCAGTGACATGAGCAAGGTAATGACTACATTTCCTTGCCAGCATTGCTGCCTCCTCCTTTGTTTTCCCCTACCATCCCGTCCCTCCCACCTCCTCAACTACACCCCCACCCACCACCCCCCTAAATTGTAAAGTTTATTTTTCAACATAGTGTCATGTACATCTCATCGTTGCAATGGGTCAACCTGTATCCCTATTTAAACAATTTGTTTTTTTTTTCCCTTCTCCTCCACAAATTATACCAACATCAAATACAGTGAAAACAGGGGTTATACCCTGGGGGAGGGACATACAAAGCAACAAAAAAAATCACATGGCACCTTATAAATACATTAGAAACAATAGCAAGAAAGAAAAAAACACTTGTGTCCCAATCTTGGGATTTATTTCACTAAACATCATCTTATCTGACCTTTTCTGCTTCACTCAGATATATACCAGTTATTGAAAATAAGGGAAACCATGGGACCTATGTTTCTTTGGGCCTGGCTTACTTCACTTAATATAATTTTTTCCAAGTCTTTCCATTTCCTAACAAATGGGGCAATGTCATTCTTTCTGATGGAGGCATACAATTCCATTGTATATATATACACCACATTTTCTTGATCCATTCATCTACTGAGGGGCATCTGGGTTGGTTCCATATCTTAGCTATGGTAAATAATGCTGCAATAAACCTAGTTGTGCTGGTAGCTTTAGTATGATCTTGTTTGTGATCATTTGGGTAAATGCCCATAAGTGGGATTGCTGGGTCATAGGGGAGCTCTGTGTGGAGTTTTTTGAGGAACCTCCAGACTGCTTTCCAAAGTGATTGGCAAGTTTACACTCCCATCAACAATGCAGTAAGGTCCCCTTCCATCCACATCCCCTCTGGTTTCTCTTCAGATAGTATAAATCTTTCGCCATTTACTTCTGGTTTTCTGGTGATTAATTGGAGATAAAAGTTTCACAGACTTTGCTGCCCAGGCTGGCTTTGAAGCATGATTCTCAGATCTCAGCCTCCTGAGTAGTTAAGATTACAGGCGAGATCCTATTTCTTTTCTAATACAATTTTTAAAATTTATTGTGCACACTAGGTGCTTGGGAAAGCAAGCAGCATGCCGAGCTGCAGGCAGCACAGGGCTGGTAAAAGGGTAAGGAAAGAGAGCTGAAGTGCACCCTGCTGCGGGCACTGACACCAGAGCTGTATCCTCAGATCCTTACTTGGCCTTGCTCTCGTCTTGATCCCGATTCAGAGCCTCCTAATCAGGTTTAGCTTTCCGCTCTCCACCCATGCCTCTTCCAGAACTGTCTACCCTGCCAAGGCACAGGAACCAGGAAGCACAGCTAGAGGAATGAGCCATTTGGAGCTGATCTGTCTCCTTGCTGTGGCTGTCCTGGGACCTCCCTACCCTTTACTCCAGCAGACAGAGAGAAGAAGTGGTCCTATGGTCTGGACCTAATTTATTTTTACAGCTTTGAAACCTCCAAGTCTTTGTGTAGATATGGTCTGGATGTTGGGTTTCTGGAGCCCAGAAAGGGCCATTCAATGATGGCATGGCTTGAGGATGACCGATGTGACCCAAGAGCCACTTATCCTTAAGGACCTATGGAGAGTGACTCCCAGGGAACCGGATGAGCAAGTCTACATGGTGCAGATGCTCCACACACAATCAACATGCACTGCAACATGCCCTGTGTTTGTTCTCTACAAGGAACTCAATTTTCAAAGAAATGGAAGTCCTCCTTTCTAGGACACAAAGGGGTACAGTGAGGGCAGGGAGGCGGGCGGGCTCTCTCTTGCAATAGTCAAGTGCTACAGGGCCATTCATCCATTCCTCCTCAGCTTTATTACGGTATGCTGTGCCAGCCTTTCTCCACTGTGGGCTGACAGAGGGGCTCAGACTACACTGGCCCTATCAGAGCTCACCTGTCTTCCTGTTCTCTGAAAGAGTCCAACCAGGCTAGGCTGGAATCTTAGGTAACTAACAAAGACAACAATTGGAGCAAGAAGGGAAGGAGGAGGACCATGGTAATGGAATAAAAACCTATTGATTCTTCTGTATAAGAAAATCTATAGAGCACTCAAGGGGATCTTGAGTTTGAAGCCAAAGCTTGGGATGCATTGTGAGACCCTGTCTTAGGGAGTAAAGGAAGGGGGAAGAGAAGGAAGAAATGCACAGATTTTTCAGAGTAGTCAATTGCAACAGCAGGTACAGCCTTTTAAGATTTTGTTCAGAATCAAGGCTAATACCACAAATTTTGTTGTAAAGTTTAGTGTGGGATATTCCTTACTTTCCTGTTATTATTATTTGTAACCCACATTTAACAAATCATGAAAAGTCAAATTCCTGGCTCATAAATAATAAATACAATTTAAGGTGCTAATGATAATGTTTTGAATATATTTTTATTGTCAAATACAGTAGTTTTTTTTTTTTTTTGGTGGTACTGGGGATTGAACTCAAGGCTGTACTTGGCCTGCTTGTTAAGATGGAGCCATAGCACTTGAGCCATACCTCCAGCCTGACTTTGGTTGGTTATTTTGGTTATGGAGTCTATAAGACTTTCTTTCCAGGTTGGCCTTAAACTATCATCTTCCAGATTGTAGGTAAGATTAGAGGCATGAGCCACTGATGCCCAGCCAATATAGTACCTTTGATCAGAAAAATCTATTTCTCTTTCTCTACCCTTAAACTTGGCTGAGGCCTGGAAACTCTTGCTTCTCTTTTGCTGTTCTCTTCAGTGATAGTTGTCTGTGTTTTCACATCCTAACTGACCCAGGGTTAAAAACTGGGATCTGAGAGCTTTTTCTCCACCTCCCACCCACCAAATGATTGTGAAATCTGACTTCTCAATCTTCTTAAAAACAATAGAAACAATCACAATTCCCAGTTCTTCAGGTACCACCTGGTCAGATTTTCTTCTTCCTTACATCTGCCATTCATGGAGCTCTCCCTCATGTGGTAATACGTGGCCAAGGGGTTTACCATCTTCTTCATCCAAGGTTTTGCCTGTTCTGGGGATGTTGACATCCATTTCGCCCAGTATTCTGGCCTTTCACTGCCCCCACCCATTTTCTTCACTTCACATACCTATATGTTTAGGCTCTTGGTTACTTATGGCTGAGCCAGTTCTGTTCTGACTGAGACCCAGGTAATGGGGCTTGTGCATATAGACCAATAGATTATTCTCTGGTCTTCCACCTCTGCTTTATTTTTAAAGTGTTGAGCATTTCAACTGAGAGAAAGTGTTCCCTGAACCTGCACAATCTTCTTCTAAATTCCTCTCCAACCTAGGGGCACAAACAGATTTCCTCACTTCCCTGGCCTCTGGGGGTTTCTCTTTGCAAGGGTTATCAATAGCACTTGGATATTTATCATATGTATGGACATATGAATAGGAGGCCTTTTGTGGTATAGGTTGGAGCCAGATGGGGATGTGGCTTAAAAGGCAGAGTGCCTGGGATGCCCAAGGAGGGAGGCAAAGGTGGAAAGAGCACAGAGACCAAACACATGCCTTCTTGTTTAAGAAAAATGGCTGGGGGCTGGGAAGGTGGCTCAGTGGTAGAGTGCTTCCTTTGCATGCATGAGGTCCTGCGTTCCATTCCTTAGCACCACATAAGCAGAAAAAGCCAGGAGTGGTGCTGTGGCTCAAGTGGTAGAGCGCTAGCCTTGAGCTGAAGAGCTGAGGGACAGCGCCCAGGCCCACGACTGACCAAAAAAAAAAAAAAAAAAAACAAACCAAAAAACAAAATAAAAATGGCTGATGTTTTTTCATCATTAACCTTTTGGTCCTGTCTCATAGACAAGACTTATAAAGGTGCCCATGAAATATGCTTTGTGTGTGTGTGCTTTTTCACAGCATCCAATTCTTAGCATAACTCTGTTTCCTGGAACTCTTCCAGATCACCTAATAAAAACCCCAGTCCTGTCAGTCCCAAGAAACCACGAAGTTCCAGACCATGTGAGCAAATAAACTCAACTTTGACTACTGATGGATTCCTACTGATTTTGAGAGATACCTATAGCCCCAAACTTGGCACTAAAGAATAGAATTTTACACATGTATCATCCCATATCTGCAAATCTGAAATCCAGAAAAATCTCTAAAATCTGAAAGTTTTGAACACTGAGATATACACAAAAAGTTCTAGATTTTGAAATGTTTTGTATCTAATAAGTCAGATTTGGAAGCTACAAATGCTTGGTCAGAAAGCTCTGTGCAAATACAGTATTCCAAAATCTGAAGCATTGTGGTCCCAAGCATTTAGAGTAAGAGATATTCAATCTGTAAAACTGAATAGCAATTAATATCATCATACAAATAAATGAAACAAGCTATAGATAAATTCAACAATACCAGCAAATCTTTTTAGCTATGTGGAGTGAAAAAATGAGAAAAAATAATGCACAGTACAATAGCAATCAATATATATGAACCTTAAAAATTAATGGAGTTGTATTGTTTAGGCTTGGCCTTAAAGTTATGTAGATTTAAAATGTAAAAAGTAGTGATTAATCCTCAAGAGAATGGCCAACACTAAAACCAGCTGATATATGGGGTTGTTTTGAGTATGGAGTAAGTTTGTTTCTTAATTTAGGCAATTAAGGATACACTTCTTATGCATTAAACTGCACAAATAAGCTGTCTATATTCCTTGTTGGGCATAGTGTACAATATGCCCAACAAGGAATATAGACAGCTTATTTTACGATAACAAAAGGCAAGAAATAAAACAAATAAATCAATATTTCATTTCCTACTTCAACTTCCTTAGAAACTGCTTAGTATCCATTCATTCAGCTAAACTCAGGGCTAAACTGTTAGCCTCTGAAATTATACAAATATTAATAACCTGTGGACTTCATTGTTATTCCTCAGACTTTCTACCTTATGGGGCATTAGCCAAAAAGGATCAGGTCTCCCTAGCTGCCTCTCTTGGCAACATGTATTCACTCTACCTTGAAGGATATCTCCGTCGTCATGGTGAACCCATGAGTAATGACAGGCTCTTCTTCTGCAGTCCTTCCTTTCCAGCAGTCCAGCTCCACACAGCGACAACCAGACAGAAGCACTTGGCGATACATCTCGACGGAAGAGTTTCCAGCCAGCTGACCAGCTATAAAACACCAGCAAAACAATCTCCAGAATCCCATGAAACAAGCAAGGTAGTTAGTGTTGGCTTCCTAAAAAAGCTCTTCAACCATGTCTAGGTGTTGAAACAGTTGTTCATGGCTTTCGTCCACCTCAACATACCAGAAGGTTACTGTTACTGCACAAGCCCAGAAATAATCATGTGTTGGGGGAGAGAAGAAGGATGGCATTGTAATAGTGACAATGATATTTGACTGGTAACTGCTTATCACGTGTCAGTTACATCTTTGGACTTTGCATGTATTAAACATTTAATCTGGGGCTGGGAAGGTGGCTCAGTGGTAGAATGCTTGCCTTGCACTCAGGAGGCTCTGGGTTTAATTCCTCAACACCACATAAGCAGAAAAAGCCAGAAGTGGCACTGTGGCTCAAGTGGTAGAGCACTAGCCTTGAGCTGAGGAGCTGAGGGACAGCGCCCAGGCCTAGAGTTCAGGCCCCACGACCGGACCCAAAAAACAAAACAAAACACTTAATCTTCAAAAGCAACTTCTCTGAAGCCAGGCTTATAATCCCAACACTGGGGGCAGTGGCACTGGGGATACTAAGGTAGAAACATTACTATTTTAAGGCCAGCCTAAGCTATATAGTAAGCCCCTGTCTCAACAGCAGCAACCACAACAATAACAGAAAAACAAATATCTGATATCACTATTGTATTCATAACAAAATGTGTTGCAGAGGCTGGATTGGTAGAGTGGTAGAATGGTAGAATATCTGCTACTCAAGCCATAGTACCAGCAAGACCCAAACCAAAATATATTTAAGCATTTTAGATGATGAAAATGGCAGAGAACAGTTCATTTGCTCAAGTTTTCCAAGGCAAGATATGGAAACGAAATAAAACAAACAACAACAACAAAAAACCCCAACAACCAGAATTTTTAAAATATGGAACACAAGATTTAACATTGTTAAAATGGCATAAGTATCCGGGCTGACAAAATTATTGTCAAAACCCAATAAATTGACACTGTGGTATAAAACTTTATATTGAAATATAATGGGCCTTCTTTAGTCAAAATAATATTTAAAAATATAAAGTAGGAAGAATCAGAGTTCAAATTTTAAAAGTTATTACAAAGTTATAGCAGACAGATGATATGGTAGTCTGGTAAGGATATACATATAGATTAATGCAGCAGCAGTAATGACCATAAATAAAGTTTCAACAGGTTACCAAGATAACTCAGTGTAGTGAGAACCTTCTCTTCAATGCCTTGTCTTGTGACAACTGAACAGCTACATCCAAAGAATGGAGTTTGATTCTCATTTGATAATCTACCCAACAAATGAACTCAAAATGGATCAACTTCCCACCTATGAGAGATAGAACTATAAAATTCTATAGACAGACACATAGATACATAGAAGATAAGTAGACAGATATAGACGGTAGCTAGCTAGCTAGATATATAGAGTCCAATAACACAAACAAAAGGGCAACTATGAAAACTTAAAGTTTCTGTGAACAGAGCTGAAATACCACAATGAAGGGATGAGATTATCATAATCAAGGCCCCTAAAAAGTCTGAGGGTAGAATACAGGGCACAGAGAAACTATCAACATACTTACTCTTTAGAAGTTAATAGGTGTCACTAATTTCTTGATAGATTATAATAATAATAAATATTGTTGTTGTTGTTGTTGGTTATGGGGCTGGTCCTGTGCCCTGGTCCTGTCCTTGAGCCTCTTTGTGCTCAAGACTAGTGCTTGACTACTTGAGCCACCATGCCATTTCTGGTTTTTGAATAGTTAATTGGAGATAAACGTCTCGTAGGGACTATTCCATTGGGCTGGCTTCAAACTACAATCCTCAAATCAGTCTCCTGAATAGCTAGTTAGGATTACAGGTGTGAGTCACCAGCTCCCAGCTTGACAAATTATTTTTAAAGACTAATAATAAACAACTGTTGGGAGAAGGCCGTTTTCATACAAATTGAAGTCTTTGGCTTCCCATGTTGGTTTGATTTATACTCCATTAGCCTCCATCATTTTTTATTGCCATACGAACTGTCAAAGTAACTTTGAAATGGACAAGATCTGCCTTGTAGAGACACCCAGGAGAAAGAAAATGGAATTTAAGCTTCCTGACTTAATTTTATTTTTATATGCATGTCACAACACTCGACCATCAGCATAACAAAGGGATGACATTGTTGAGTTTTCCAGAGCCCTATAAATGCACTGAAAGTCTGATTATGGAGGGTTGCATAACACTTTACTGAAAAATAAGAAGAAAAAAAAAGAACAAAAAGCAGACATGTTTAACACACAAACGTGTTCACAAAAACAGAAATGCTGACAGAACAACCTAGAAATTCCTGATGCCATTGATAATGGCTTCAGAATGTATTGCTTCTGTAAAAATTTACGAATCTCTCTAGTAAAGGAAGGGAAAAGGGGGAAGAACGTAAATAAAGAAGTAAAGATAAGCATTTACATTACTCCTACAACTTAGGGCTACATAAACAAAAGGTGAAGATTTTAAATAATTATCAGGCTATCTCATTGAAACTGCTTGCCCCTGCAGCAAAACAAAACAAAACAAATCCCCCCCCCAAAAAAAGACAAAAACACCACCACCACCACAATAACAAAAAACCAAACCAAACCAAATCCAGGCAATGGTATGAAAGGACAGAGAAGATTTTTGTGTGTCTGTTGACTGTATCCAATATCATTACTTATTGGGCGATGTCTGAGCCTACTTCATTGATACTTTGGTGAACAGAGTTGTTGTCATGGATTTAAAGCTAGATCACAGTTAATGGTGTAGTAAAGTAAATAAATACTATGAACAGACATTATTTGAAAAAGATGCATGTGTATTAAAGATTGCTGACCTTGTTGGCATCATGGTTGTTTGAAATGGAATATGGAAGCTTAGAGCTAAAATAAGAGCGCTGTTGGGTCTCCTAGTAGCCAATGACCTTAATTAATTAATTAATTTTTTGAAGGATCCTATCTCACTATATATCCCAGTCTGATTTCTAACTTTCCAACTGTTGAAACATGTGCTGTGCTCAGCTTCCATTACCTTGATTTTTGTATTTGAGCTAACAACCTCTTGATCAATCAATAAAGTTCTTGGACTGTATCACAACATTTAATACAACTCTAGCCTCTGCCCACCCTAAAACTAAGGATGCTATATTGTCATCTGAAACCTATGGAAGAGAATTTCTTCTTCCTTTGCAGAAGCTGTCCCACTTCCTAAACTTCTTACCAATGTAATGGTAAAGGATGGCTTTCTTTGTTTCCATGGTTACAGGGGAAGATGCCACTCAGGGTAATCTGAATCTACAGGCCACAGTTACTCATATTTGGTTCATTCATAATGAAGGGTCTTCTTAGTTCCTTTCAAAACAAAGTTGTATTTTACATTTACAATACCTAACCAATATATGACCATTTAGTTGGAAAAGGCTCAAAAAGTTTCTAGAAACATTTCTTTGAATTTGCTTGGAAAAAATTTTTTCTTTTGTCATTTGAAAGACAGCTGAAAAGATTTTGGCATACATTTAAGTATTGACCAGTGTGTTCTGAAAGGAATGGAAAGGCTGTATGGTTGGGTTTGTGAGATGAAAAGACTCCTGGAAAAATCTAGAGACAGACAGACAGAGACAGAGACTCAGAAAGAATTAATAGTCAAAGATCTAATGTTATCCAAGCCCTTCTAAGGTAGGCTTGTTGCTCATTCTTAAAATGAATAATTTTTATGAATAATGAAATCTCCAAAAGAAACTGTATTTTGAGAACCAATATTTATCTGTAATGGTCTTTAATGCACAATGCCTTTAAATGAACATTAGCCTCCATGTATACCTCACTTCATTTATGGAGACTTGTTTTTTTTCCTTTTCAAACACATACATTGATAATCTCCATCACTCTTTTACTGCCTGGAGTCTCAAACTTGCTTTGCTTTTCTTCCTAAAATTCTAAGCATCTCTTTATTGCATCCCATCCATTATAGTTCCATTTGATTTGATCCAATAACTATAGCTTCTAGGACCAAGGATCTCCAGGGGTTGGTGTTGGTGATGTGTCATGAGTCATTCAGTCCTTGGCATTCTCTCTCTGGTCATGAACACTCTTTTTTTTTTTCCTTACAATGTTACCCATGTTTTATATATTATTATAGAGATAAAATGCACCATACAAAACATTAAATGGCCGTCTTTCATTGATAGTTTTACTGTTCAGTCATCTTTAAAATTGAATGTACCATTACATTCACATAAATGACTGTAGGCATTCAGAGAAGTAAAAAAAAATCAGAATCAGCACATTGAAGAGTAACTTTGTTTTTAGAGATGAAAATATATATCCTCTCACACATAATTTTGCTCAGATCTTTGAATGAACAATTTCACAATGAATGCAATGTTGAGAAACACAAAACAGATTAATATGGACTTGAGGAGATTCATTATAAAACATTTTGAATTCTTATTAGCTACTTTATACATATAGTTAATATTAGGACATTTTTCAGAGTAATGAAACTTTTTAAATATACTGTGTTTGCTTTCATAAATCTATTAAGATTTTTTCTAGACAAATTTAGGAAACTTCATTGGAGGTGTCAACATAAGTCCAAAATTTTTAATGAAATGGAAAGAAAGTAATTAAACCAATGTTTAAAGAGAAAAACAACTAACCAATTATAAAGACAAACACAAACTTTAGCACTCATACTAACTTATTTTGAATCATAAACATGTCAATGAATGTTAGCCAATACATCGTGCAGAAATATTCATATATAAATAAGTTCAACTGACTTTTGAAAATATAGAAGCAATTTATATCATATATGTGTCACTGATGCCATATATGTCATTTATACATCATTTATCTGTCATGTAGTATATGTGTGTCACTGCCATGCATGGTGTGTGCATGTCATATATGTTGTATAGGTCATGTATGTGTCAGATATGTCATATGTGTCATACACA